ATCAGTCACTTTTTTCAGTGCTGCTATAACTTATGACATTTTTTTCACACTTATGACCATTGCAACTTCGGTCACTACATGAACTGTTGCAAGTCGAGGACTACCTGTAGACATGAAACTTGGTTCACTTGCCTGTGGGTCACCTCCAGCTGTCAGCCCAGTTCCTTCCTAACAGGCCATGGACTAGTACTGGTCTGTGACCCAGGGGCTGCGGATCTAAAGGGGATGATGATCAGGGTATGAGCTGCTTTTGCCAAGGTATCCTGATACAAGAAGGCTTGTAGCTAGCATTTTCTGAACTTTAAACATTAAAGAAAGATGTAGAAATCCTCGTGGTCCAAAGGAATCTACCCCACTCCTCTGAAACTTAGTTTTAGCAAACTACAATGCTGTTGCTTTACTCACCTGCCTCTTAGTCAGCCTGTCAGGAGGACCTCCTGGCCTTCCACACCTCTGCTGTTGACAGTACCAGTTGCTGATTATCTATGAAATGCTAGGAATGTACAAGTGGAGCCCAGCCCTGGACAGAAAGCACCAGGAGGCCTCTTCCTTACCCAGTGGTATGCATACTGTAGGTTCAGAAATGGGAAAGTGTCTTTCCCCACTGAATTTGAAGAGCGCGGTAAAACCTAGAGCCTCACCTCCTTGAGATTGAGGTCCTACAACATCTTAGGGACTCCGAGGATCTTACAGGTATTTTCAATGCCCAGGTAATTCTTTGGAATTTACAGCTACTTAAATAGAATAAAAAGCAGGGAGGAAATTGAATAATGGAATTACTAGGTATGTTTAACTGATAACGGTGGTAGGCATTTGGAGAGAGTTTTGAAAGGTTGAAAATAAGCATCGAAGGGTCATGAATGAATGTGAAATTATGCATTGAGAGATACTATTAATTTTGCCTATAATAAAATGTATGATATATTGATGCCACGCTATTAATGTATTGTTGTGATATATGCAGATTGAAATAAAAAAAAATGGGGGGGGGAGGAATTTACAGCTACTTCCTTGTACTTTCACACGCTTGGTTGACCACGCTGGGGCCCGTAAAGGCTGAATGTAAGAAAGCGGGTTTCTCTGCTTGCTACCTGTTGTACAAAGCAAAATCTTCCAGCACCTAGAGCAGACCAGCGGATGGCATTGTGCAGGCTTTGTAGTATTTTCATTCTAACCCATAGCCTCTGAAGACCAGTTGGAATTAGCGTGGTGGTGGGAAATAGGAGAGGTGGGGATAAAGGAGAACAGTTTGGAGAATCAAGGCACAATTTGCTGAGTGATCTAATTAAAGGGCCTACTAGAAAGTCGTTTGTCAACCCTGCTAGGAACTGCTGCTCCTTCTTAATTGTTTAATTGTTGCACTTGTGACCCAACACTGTTTCACAGCTCTGATTAAACCAAGAAGGAGGTTGTGTTGGCTCACAAATTCTGTAGGGCCTTGTTTTCCGTGGGTGGAGGGGTGGGGGGGCTAGCATACCGGTGGCCCCATCTCTCCTAGATTGGCATGTGGTAGCTGAGATGTTTGTGGAAAAAAGTGTATTTGGCTGGTTACTGGTTAACTTGGTTTGAACGTCGTTCAAATCCTATGGGACAGTGGGGGTTAAGTAGGAAGAAGGCAGATCTTCTGTGTGGCTTGCTGTGTCTTCATTTCCTTTTATCAGCCAGGAAGGTGTTATTCAGGTGTCCAAAGCTCTGGACCAGAAGTAAATTATCTTTGGTGTTGGTTGTGGGCCATTTGCTCTGTTATCTGGGTGTTTCCCTCCTCCTATCAGTCAGTATTTTTTTTTTAAAAAAAGAGCTAGATTCAGAACAATTTCATGTAATCCATCTCTTTGAATAGGCCACGATTTTGATTGCTTGATACAATAGAAACCCTTGTTCTTAGAGCATTGCCACCTTCCCAGGTCGCACTCTGGACTGGAAGACACACTGACTTTCGTCTTCGGTTGCTCCCTTTCCAAATTATCTTTATTTCGAAAGCGGGGTGCATTTTCCGGAATGAATGGACTTCTTTATGTATCTGTTTTCTTTCTCACTTTGGAAAAAGGAAATATTTTGAGATTTGTCCTTTGTAGAACACCTTCCCTTCTTAATGCCATGATCTCATTGAAGAGCCCAATAAGGATGTTAAACCTATAGCCGGGTTTTTCCACTGTTTCTGTCTTTCTCTCTCTGGCAAAGAACCAGCATAATCGAAACAAACAACTGGTAGGGAAAGGGAAGTCAGTAGAAAACAATGAAACAATATTCTGGACAGAAGCAAAACAGAAACATTCAGTAGAAAAACACTGGATCTGTTGTCTGCTTAGTAAAACAAGTGATACAGAAAGCAGCAGTATTGAGCTGAAACAAATACAGTTTTAAGCAAACATCTCGATGGATACATGTAGGAAATACATAAAGTAAATCTGACTTGTCTATAATTAGACTCGATTTACAGGTTATACTTGATATGAAACTGTAGCAATATTACTTCCTGTTGTGTCATCGGTGTACTTTAGTCTGTTCCTAAACATGCACCATCAATCATCATTGCGGCTCAAGCTAATGTGGCATCATGCGATGCTCTGTTTTTTATTTTGCCTTTCGTTTCATGCCATTGGGCAAGGGTGTTCTCACTGGACTGCTTGCTTTGTGCAAGGCTGAATGTGCGTTTGTAAGTTTTGTACACTCACAATACCGGTTGTCAACAGAATCTGGCTTTTTAAACTTTGGGTAGCTTTTTTATTTTGGAAACTAAAATAGAAACCGAAAGGATGTCTCGTGCTTGGAAGTGAAAAATTGCATTCCTTTGCAGATTAGAGAATGGACCAAGCACTGAAATAGAAGAATTTGGGTATCCAATAAAGGCATTCCTTGACTTACAACCATCCAGCTAACTAGTGACAATTGGAAGTTACAATGGCACTTAAAAAAGAAGCTCGCAGTTACAACTGTCATAATTTCTCCACGGTCACGTGATCAAAATTCAGGCAACCAGTGCGTATTTATGACGGTTGCGGTGTGCTGAGGTCACGGGATCCCCATTTACAACCAATGTCAATGGGGAAGGGGGGAGGAAAGTCCAATTCGCTTGACTGCATGGTTCACTTAACAACTTCCCTGATTCGCTTAACAACCATGGCAAAAAAAAAGTCATAAAATTGGGCACCCTTCCCTTAACAAAGCTTGGCCATGGGAATTCTATGGCCGTAAATCAAGGACTGCCTGAAAGCCAGTGGATGGAGTGCTGGGTCTTATTTTCGTCTGTCTTTGCTTCTTGGCAAGCTCAGCTCCACCCAGCCGATAGGGGCGGAACTCTCCCGGCCGAGAAACGGTGATTATAAATATTGATGGGAAAATAATGGAGTGCTTTTGGCCTCTTCCTTGTTCCTGACTCATTTGTTCAATCTAAAATTTGCTGGACCGCAGGAGGTGTCTGAGGATATGTTTATAGAGACGGGTTGGGGTGTTTCCTTGGCTCAATGGGTCGTAACATGCCTGTTGCTCTCCTCATCCAGGGGGGGGTTGAAGTCTCCCGCTTGCCTGGTTTTTCACTCCTGGGTGGTGTCATGCTCCTATCAGAGTCTGAATCCGAGGAGGAAGCCAAATAGCTGACAGGGAGCCAGGAGTGTGGCTCCATTGGCTGTGGAGGAGGCTGGGGAAGGGCAAAGTCCGGCTGGGCAGAAAAGGGGAGAGATAGAACAAGGGAGAGGGAGTTCAGAGGAAGAACCAGGCCTGCCCCCTCTTCATCCTAGGCAGAAGCAGAGAAGAGAGCAACGTGGGTTGTGTGGCTTATGGGGGGAGGAAAGGGCCCTGATTCCCTTCATTAGCCACAACTATTCACTTAACCGACATGGCGAGAAAAATTTCAAAAAGGGGCAAAAGTCACTTAAACAAATTTCTCACTGAGCAAGATAAATTCTGGGCTCAATTGCGGTCGTACGTCGAGGACTGCCTGTACGTGTAAATGGCTGCCTACCTAATTCTGGGCATAGCATTACAATTTACAGGTAGTCCTCAATTTACGACCGCAATTGGAACCAGAATTTCCATTCCTAAGTAAGGCGGGTTGTTAAGAGAGCCAGGCTTAGTTTTCTGCCTTTTTTTTAAACCATGGTTGTTAAATGAACCACTGCTGATATTCATCACACGGTCGTTAAGCAAATCTGGCTTCCCCCATCAACTTCGCTTACCAGAAACTAGCTGGGGAGATCCCAAACGGTGATCACACATGACCCTAGAATGCTGCAACCATCATAAATGCATGGCAGTTGTCACAAGCACCCAGATCTTATGGTTGTGAGGATGCTGCAACGGTCATAAGGGTGAGGACCAGTTGTAAGTTGTTGGGTTTTTTCCCAGTGCTGGTGTAACTTTAAACAGTGGCTGCGTGAATGCTTGTTAGTTGAGGTCTACCTTTAGTTCGTTTTGGGCAGTTTCAGTTGGCTGTCAAGGATTAATGAGTCACGGTGGCGCAGTGGTTAGAGTGCCGTACTGCAGGCTACTTCTGCTGCCTGCCGGCTGCCTGCAGTTCAAATCTCACCAGGCTCAAGGTTGACTCAGCCTTCCATCCTTCCCAGGTGGGTGAAATGAGGACCCAGATTGTTGGGGGCATGACTCTGTAAACCACTTAGAGAGGGCAGTAAAGCACAGTGAAGAGAGAATAATAAGTCTTAAGTACTAATGCTATTGTACATCCATCTATCCATCCATTCATGATGAGCAGTGGTTAGAATGCAGTATTGTAGGCTAACTCTGCCAACTGCCAGCAGTTCAATCCTGACCAGCTCAATGTTGACTCAGCCTTCTATCCTTCCGAGGTTGGTAAAATGAGATGGTTGGGGGCAAGAGAGGCTGACTCTGTAAACCGCTTAGGGGAGGGCTGTAAAACACTGTGAAGCGGTATATAAGTCTTAAATGGCTATTGCTATTAACCTAAACTCCCACGTATGAAAAAAGCTGGAGAATGTTGTGACCGATTTGCAAACTCAACTCAATCTTCCTGGTTTGTTTTGTAGGGAGTCCTTCCCGGTGGAATTCCACGATGTCCCTCTCTGTACGACCCCAGCGGCGCAGTCTGGTGGTCAGGATCAATAGGAGCCAGTCATTTGCAGGAGTCAACTCCTCCCAGGACAAACCTTTCAGGTAGGCTTAGCAAAAATTGTCTCTGGGCAACGGAAATAATCAGGGAAGCTTCTGATTTCCTGCATGGTTCCTAGTGGCGAATTGCACCAAGAAAGCCCTGGGGAGGGTAATATCACTTTATAACGCCTTGGGAAGGCCACACCTAGAGTACTGCATCCACTTTTGGTCACCACGGTGTAAAAAAGATGCTGAGACTCTAGAAAGAGTGCAGAGAAGAGCAACAGAGATGATTAGGGGACTGGAGGCTACAACATATAAAAAACGGTTGCTGGAACTGGGTGTGTGTCTAGTGTGATGAAAAGAAGGACTAGGACAGACATGATAGCAGTCTTCCAATATCTCAGGGGCTGCCCCAAAGAAGAAGGAGTCAAGCTATTCTCCAAAGCACCTGAGGGTAGGATAAGAAGCAGTGGATGGAAGCTAATCAATGAGAGAAGCAATTTAGAACTTAGGAGGAATTTCCTGACAGTTACAGTTAATCAGTTGAACAACTCGCCTCCAAAAGTTGTGAATGCTCCAACACTGGACGTTTTTAAGAAGAGATTGTATAACTATTTTGTCTGAAATGGTATAGGGTTTCTTGTCTAATCAGGGGGTTAGACTAGAAGATCTGCAAGGTCCCTTCCAACTCTGTTATTCTATTCTAAGAGGTAGACATCAGATATTTTGGGACGAAACCAATGCAATTGGATAAGAAGACAGGCCAGTTTTGTAAAGGTCTGTTTGTTCTCCTCAAACACACTAAAGAACATTTTACAGGGGCCTTCCAAACTGTCTCCATAGCAATTGCAACATGATTTTCCCCAGAAAGCAACATTTATTTTAAATTTGCCCTTCACCTCTCTCTAGTTCTGTTTTTCCAAATCCTTGTTTTTTTCTCTTTCCAGCTAACGTTTATTTATTCCTCTGGGCAGGTGGGACTTTTTTCCAAAGTCCTAGAACACCTTCCTGCATCCTTTTTAATTTCGGTGAGGCCTGTTGTTGTCCGAGGGGGGAGGGGGGTCTTGGAAACAAATGCACAGTTAGATAACCTCCAATTTATTTTATTTGGGGGGGGGGAATTAATTAAAAGGCCAGTCTGGTGTGGCAGGAACGAGGATGGTGGTGGGCCCAGGTGAAAAGCTGAATATCATTCAGAGCAGGAGGATCAATGCCCTTCTTTAATCAGAAGTTAGAACCGTGCATTTAGAAGCAAATGGATACCATCGAGCCACATTTTTTTTATCACCTTGCATTTTATATATATAGACGGAGCCGAGTTATTTAGTTTTGATCAGGGATGGCATGTTGAAATTCAGAGTCAGAATTCCTCGGTTCTCTAATTCTACAACTCCATATTTGGATCTCACATTTTTCAGAGCACCAAAGGGGCTTCAAAGCAATATCTCAAAGATTTTTTCAACATCTTTTTTATAATGTGACCAAAACTGGATGCAGTATTCTAGGTGTGATTTTACTAAGGCTTTACAGAGTGGTCTTGATCTTGATTGTATTCCTCTGTTAATACAATTTAGGATTGAATTGGCTTTTTTGATGGCTGCTGCACACTGCTGGCTCATATTTAGCTGGTTGTCCACTAAAACTCCAAGATCCCTCTCACGGTTATTGCTATTGAGCCTGGCTTCACCCAGTCTATACTTAGCAATGAGGTGCGTGGGAAAACATCCTTTCTTTACTGATATGTTTTTCCTGAAACATTTCTAAGGCTTTTTGGTATCACTGCAGGGGTGTGTACAGGAGCTGCTGTTTTCCCACCCAGACTACGCAGAAAACTATCCTGCATTATTAAGAATCAGCCGGCCGGCCTATTCTGTGATATCCTCTTTTGTCTGTGGGGCTTTTATCATCATTATTTTTTTGGTAGGAATTTCCCTGCGTTCAGTACACCCACTGTCTCCAGGAAGTCTGGCTCCAGGGTCAGTAGGATGTTTTCAATGTCTCATAAATCCCCTCCACCCAAGGTGCCCCAGCCAGAGAGACTCGATGAAGTGTACGAAGCACTGAAGAAAGGCCTGAGGTAAGCGTCGCTGCGGGCATCACCGAACGCTCAGCGTGTGACAGGCGGTGATACCTCTTTATCTGTTCACAAACATCTAAGCTTGCTTTTCTACTCCGTGTTGATACGTGAGGAGGTGGTGAGGAGTCACTGTGAAACCAAGTGTCTTCAGTGGGATATTGAGAAGCATTTGGGTCTAATGTAGGGGTCTCCCCATTGGGCAACCTTAAGACTTGTGGACTTCGACTCCCAGAATTCCTCAGCCAGCTACGGGAATTCTGGGAGTTCAGGTCCATAAGTCTTAAAGTTGCCGAGTTTGGAGACTTTTGATCTAGTGGTTAAAGCACCACAGGCTACAAACAGGGAGATCCTGAGTTCTAATCTTGCCTTTAGCCATGAAAGCCAGCTGGGTGAGCTTGGGCCAGTCCCTCCCTTTCAGCCCAGCTCACCTCACAGGGTTGTTGTTATGAGGAAAATAGGAAGAGAAAGGTGTAATTAGATATATTTGCTGCTTCGCATTGTTTATAAAAAGGTAATAAAAGCAGGATATGAATTCATGAATAAATAAATACTTAAAATATTCCCCTGCAGTATTGGGCAGCGCTCTCCAAAGCTGCGGTAACAATGGAGAGTTTGATATAGTGGCTAAGGCACCAAGCTAGAAACCAGGCGATTGTGAGTTCTAGTCCCACCCAAGGCACAACTGGGTGACTTTGGGCCAGTCACACTCTCTCTCTCAGCCCTAGGAAGAGCAAAGCAGGCAAGAGCAAAGCACTTTTGAAAACTTGTCGACAAAATCGCAGGAACTTGCTTAGGTGGTTGTCAGGAAGCAACACCAACCCGAAGGCAATTCAGCTTTGTGTAAATGCAGCTGACCCCGATTCCTTCCTCCCCCCCCCACCAACCTAAAGTTCAACTTGAAGATCAAGAGTGCGGGTAGCGTGGTGGGAATCGGCTGAAAGGAAGTTTTCTGCTCTTGGCTTTTACTGCCAAGGATAACATCCTGCATGAAAAAAAACCAGGGCAAGTGCCTTGGATTGGGGAGCCGGGATGCTGCCGGCTCTAATCTTCCAAGCGATGGGGAGATCATTCTTCTTTCTCTACTCAGTCCCTTCCACCTCTCCTTCCTTGCAGCGCTTACCTGGAGGTGCACCAGCAGGAACTGGAGAAGCTGAGCACCCAGATCCGTGAATCCAAGAGGAATTCTCGCTTGGTGAGTGACGCGGTTCCTATCTGATGCTGCCAACCTCTGATGGAATGCAAGGCTGTCCTTGCAAATGGCAGAAGTTCAGTCTCCGGTCCTCAAATTTGCAGGCAGGCTGGCCTTCCAGTCACTTCCAGCGGAACAGAGGGTGATGATTTGCAGGCATTTTGTGCAGAGGATCTCCCCGATAGACACCCACAAAAATGCCTCCATGCAGATAACCGATATGTACATAGATAATGCATACACAGTATACGCTTCCCACTGCCTGTGGAAATGTCAGAGTGCTTTACTAGGTGGAACAACCTAGGAGCAATAACAGTTTGTAATAAATAGTGGTTTTATCTACCAGAGAATATATGCCAGCGATGGTGAACCTATAGCATGTGTGCCGGAAGTGGCACACAGAGCCATTTCTGCTGGCACGTGAGCCGTAGCCCCAGATCAGGTCCACTGTGCTTGCGTGTACACCTCCCTCCAGCCAGCTGATTGTCAGGTATCTGCTGCACATGCACAGAGGTGCACAATGCACGAGGGGTCACGCATGCATGCTCAGAGGGGAGGGGCACATGCATTGCATTATGGGTGCAGGCATGCATGTGCAGGAGCGCACCTTCGACATGCGAGGACGAGAAGGTGAGCCATCACTGATATATACTGTACATACACATACAATAGGCAGAAGTCAAACCATCAGTAAATGACAGCAGGGAAGAACACACAGCGAGAGAGTGATGCCCTAACAGGGCCTCTTCTTATTATACAGGCTCTTAAAGGGATAGTAGCTAAAAACCTTGCTGACTCATTCCCATCATTACATCAGTGCATCAGTGCATCATTGTAGCAGCTGGTCAGCTCTTAAATCACTACCCTGATACTTCCCTCTTACCACAACGTCAGGGAATGCAGCTTTAAAAAATACGCGTGGAGGAGCATGTTGTAATGCCTAATATGATGCCATGCATTCACTGTGGGGTCCTTGGTGCTCTCAAGAGCTCGGTTCTTTTCTTGCAGACGTTTCATTACCCAACTAGGGAACATCTTCTGTTTTATGACCCAACTACTTGGATCATGAAACGTCTGCAGGAAAAGAACCAAACTCTGAGAGCATCCAGGAGTCCACAGTTCAGCCCTGAGCTGCTGTTGGCATGTAGTCAGCAGTTCTTCCAAGTTTTCTCTTCTTCTCTTTTTCTCCTTTAGGGCTTCCTCTATGACCTTGACAAGGTAAGACCTGCTGGGAAGGAAGCAGAGAACCCAAGGGACTAATGTTAGGTGGCACGGGGTTACTCCCTCTTGCATCTCGTATGTTTCTGCATGCAAAAGGTTGCCCCACCTGGTCTTTGCAGCCGTCTTCTCTCCCTGCCTTTGCCGAGCGATCTTGCTGACGTTGGTTGGTTGAGTTCATTGATTCAGTGGAAATCCTGCACCCTCCGCCCCTCTTGCCTCCCTCCCTCCCTCCCTCCCTCTCCTCTCTAGGATTTGCTGCCTCGAAACTGGTAGTGCTGGGGTTTGTTTGTTTGTTTGCTTGCTTGCTTGTTTTGGCAACTTCATAAAATTCAGTCATATGACTACAGGATGCTACTCGCTGCCGTTATTGCAGTGCACCGTGCTCTATAGTCAGACACCACTGGACAGAGTAACCTTTATCTTTCTACATTCCTTTACCAGTTGAGTTTCCAGATCCTTCACAATGGCATTTCTTTCTTATTTTCACAGCAAGTCAAGTCCATTGAGCGTTTCTTGCGCCGTTTGGAGTTTCACGCTAGCAAGGTACCTCCTGTTTCTGAATTCACCATGCCAGTAAGATTGCAGTGCCAAGAAAATCTATTTTTTTTAATTGTCTTTATAAATTATGCCTTTGTGTAAATGTTTGGCCTATTTTGCCAGAGCATCCTAAAGGGATTCGGTTGCAACTTGCCAAAGATTTCTGGCTAAGCAATTTCCCTGCTACCTGATCCTTCTTAAATAGAGATGCTAAGGTCTTTTGGTATGTAAAAATTCGGGTTCAGCTATTCAGCCATGACCTTTCCCAAGGAGAAGGAGAAGAAAAAAAATCTGAGAGCAGGACAAGAAGTAAGAGATGGAACCTTATCAAAGAGAAATCCAACCTAGAACATAAGAGGAATTTTCTATCCCTGAGAGCAGGGGTCTCCAAACTTGGCAACTTTAAGACTTGTGGACTTCAACTCCCAGAATTCTCCAGGCTGGAGAATTCTGAAAGTTAAAGTCCACAAGTCTTAAAGTTGGCAAGTTTGGGGACCTCTGCCTGAAAGCAATTAATCAGTGGAATGGTTTTCTCCCCAAAAGTTATGGGTACTTCATCACTGAGGATTTTTAAGAGATTGGATAGCCATTTATCTGGAATTGGTATAGAATCTCCTATAGGGAGTTGGACAAGAAGATAACAGATAACAGATAATCAGAGTTGGAAGGGACCTTATGGGTCATCTAGTCCAACCCCCCGCCCAAGCGGGAGACCCTACACCATTTCTGACAGATGGCAGTCCAATCTCTTCTTGATAGTCTCAAGTGAAGATGCTCCCACAACTTCCGAGGACAAGCTGTTCCATTGGTTGATAGTTCTCACTGTCGGAAAGTTTCTCCTTATTTCCAGGTCGAATCTCTCCTTGTTCAGTTTCCATCCATTATTCCTTGGCTTTCGGGTGCTTTGGAAAATAGCTTGACCCCTTTCCTCTCTGGGGCAGCCACTCAAATATTGGAAGACTGCTATCATGTCTCCCCTGCTCCTTCTCTCCTACCGCTGTTATTTTGAAATTCCGTAAAGATCAGGAAGAACCTTTTGAAGACAAAATAGTTTGCTGTGTAACCTAGGATGGTCTAGGAGCCAAACCTTCTAGATACTTCAGCAGGCGTCCTCGCCGCTGGCTCGGCTTTCCGCGCAACCACTTCGCAGCTTCTCACGCTCGTGCTCCGTCTTTCTTTTCAATAGATTGATGAGCTCTACGAGGCGTATTGCATCCAGCGACGGCTCCGAGATGGAGCTCACAACATGGTCAAGGCCTACACAGCCGGTTCCCCTGGCAGCAAGGAGGCCCGGGAGAGCTTGGCTGAAGCTGGCAAGGGCTACAAGGAGTACACGGAAGTGAGTCAAGATGGCTGGCACTCAGGGAGGAAGAAATCGGTTGGTGGGTGAGGGACGAGAGGAAAGTTCCTGGGTTGACGGCACTAACAGTTGGTTGTCGATGTTCTCCCCATGCAGAATATGTGTCTGTTGGAGAGTGAATTGGAGAGCCAGTTGGGAGAGTTCCATATCAAGATGAAAGGTAGGAAGGGACAAACCACATCTGCCTGAGGAAGCTTGGTCGGCCATTTTTAAAAGCACCTTGTCAGGGATCAGAAATGACCCAGTGAGCTAATTAGAGTGGTATGTTGATTGTTGCTCGCCTATAGGCAGGCATCTTGCCAGAGTACATCACAGACTGCATAACTATTAGATAAATAGCGCGAGGTTTTAGGGAGGATCTCCCTTCAGTCTCTTCCTCACCACAAGGGACTCAAGGCTACTCCGCCATTTCATCCACCCCCTCAACTCAAGGCCAGATTTCACCACACCCTTGAGGAGTATAGGAGTTGGCTTGGTGAGGAGGAGAAGGGTGTTTACTCTCTGCCTCTTGATGTCTCCTCCAGGTCGCACCCTTTCCTCATAAATGTGCCTCTGGAGAAAAGAGATGGGATGGCGGTGGCCTTATAATGTAGTTTTCTGATTCTTTATGAAAGATAACAACATTAGGACCACCTAGGTGGGCCACCCTAAATAGTCCTTATGTTGTTATGACTTATCTTCTTTTGTTATGTCTTATGCCTTGTCTTGTCATTCTCTTGCAGGATTGGCTGGCTTTGCTAGGCTTTGTGCAGGCGACCAATATGAGGTTTGTAAAAGCAAGATGGGTGATGGAGGGGACCCCAGGCAAACTTACCTCACTGCGCATGCGTGCACCTCCCAGCTGATTTTTCGGTCCGTTTGAGGCCTTTTTCGGCCTCCCAGAGGTTTGAGGGAAGCCTCTGCAGCTTTGGAGGCCAAAAAAAAAAAGGGGCCCATTTCATCAATTCCTGTATTTCCGGAAATCCCAGAAGTGATGAAACGGGCTCATTTTTCGGCCTACAAAGGCTGCAGAGGCTTCCCTCAAGCCTCTGGGAGGCTGAAAAGGGGCTCAAACGGACCGAAAAATCAGCTGGGAGGTGCAGTGCAGGTAAGGGGGCAGTGGGGGGGGGATCGCACATGCATGCGCAGGGTGCGGGGGGTGGGTGTTATATCAAAGTCATCCCAGAGGTTGGACAGTTGCTATTACTTAAGAGATAAGGTGAATTTGTCCCTTCTGTTTGTTATCCAAGAAAGGCTTGCAGTCAACCTGGCTTAAAACTGTGAGTCTGGATCTCATTGCTAGTCATCTAACTGATACCCAAATTCCTCTTCCTTCACGGTAGATCTTCATGAGGTATGGGCGCCAGCGATGGAAACTACGGGGTCGCATCGAAGCCAACAGCAAGCAAGTCTGGGATAGTGAGGAGATGATCTTCTTGCCCCTTATTACAGAATTTCTGTCTATCAAGGTGATTGATATCTCCCTGGTCAGATGTCTCCTACCTAGAAGAAGATGTTTTTTTCCTTAGTCGCGACCATTCTGCTTTTTTACTTTCTCCTTTCAGGTGACGGAACTCAAGAGCTTGGCCAGCCATGTAGTGGTGGGGAATGTCTCTTGCGAGACCAAGGATCTCTTTGCTGCCCTGCCCCAAGTGGTGGCAGTTGACATCAATGACCTAGGCACAATCAAGCTAAGCCTGGAGGTCAATTGGAAGTGAGTCCTCTTGGCCTTCTTTGGGCTTCTTCTGTTCTTCTCTAATGTTTTGTGGGTGTCTGAGTGGGCCATAGTGAAAGAAGGGTTCCAGTAAGAGAGTCCATAGTGTCTCCTTGAAGATCTTCCAAGTGATCTAAAGAGCACGTGAGGCCACCTCTCCCATCAGCTCCCTTTTCCTTCTTCTCCACTAACTACAATGCTTTCCTTCCATCAGTCCGTTTGATAAAGAGGACCAACCATCTTCTGCCAGTACTGTGAACAAGACATCAACAGTCAACAAGCGGTTCTCCACATACAACCAGAGCCCTCCTGATACCCCTTCCATGAGAGAACAAGCCTTTTATGTGAGTACTCCTTCTTTGGGTGCTACATGTATTAAGATATGGAGAGAATGGAAAGTTCTTTGTCCTTATGGCTTCACCAGTAGCTTCACCAAGGATTTGGAGAAGGTGTAGTCCAATAAGAAAATATGCATCACTTTTCTCCTTCAGTCTTACCCACAAAGTCTTTGTTATTGTTAAAAAAAAAAAACAAGTTTTAAATAAAGCAGGCCAGACTCCCTTGGAGGTCTTTTGTTCCTGGCAATTATATAAATATGACACAAAGAACATGCACATATTCTGGAGAGAGAGAAGTTACCTGATGATGGGCTCCAACACGAAACTGAAAGCTTGGAAGAATAAACCTAGTTTGGTCCTGGCGACCGACTCAGACTAGATCCTGCAACACAGAACATTCTCGTACTTTTTTGTCCACTTAATTGTTTTTATATCTCTAGACATTAGACTTGGGGTGGAATTTGTCAAATCACAGCTCTTACCGCATTCAAACCAAATGCCCAGGATGTAATCTTGAATTGGTTTCTGCAGTCTCGGTCTGAAATCAGAGCTTGAAACACAGCTTCTTGGTTCAGTTAATCCAGAAATCTATGGTTTAACCACTTCTAGAAATGCTAGATTAGGACAGGAATTGTGCAATTTGAGATTATTCCACTAATGTGGCTCTTGATGCTTTGGCTGCAGTCCCCAGAGATCTCAAAAAGTTGTTCCCCCAAAATTGAATTCTAACATAGAGTGGAATAGATGGAATAAATGGTGCTAATTTGGATTACTTTTATTTAATCCAATTTTATTTTGATCTGCCCTGGCTGATTTAATCCTGGCCTTGTCTACTTCCTGGGGGGGGGGGGGGGGTGTTTGTGTGTGTGTGTGTGTGTGTGTGTGTGTGTATCTCCAAGCACTTTATTTGAAGTCCATAGGTGGCCCTCAGGAAAAAAAAAACCCAATTCACATCAAAGAAAAAGAAAGGGGAGAAAAAGTGTGAAAAACAGAACATTTTCTTTTGCAATCCAAAACAAACTATGTTTTATCAGGTGAAGGTTGTTCCTGTTTGTACATGAAACCTTCCAAAAGGAAGGAGAACAACTTCTCCGATCTTTCTAACTGGAGAAAATAGACAGCTAGATTTATTGCAGAGGAGTAGGGCGTTCTTCACCCTGATCCCATAAACCAGGGGTGTCAAACTCAAGGCCCAGGGTCCGGATCCAGCCCACGAAGTGCTTAGATCTGGAATGCAGGGTCACCCTGGGAACAGCAAAGGACTGTCCCACGGTGCCTCTGCCAGTGAAAATGGAGCTTGTGAGTTGATCAATTTTCACTGGCAGAAGTTTGCAGGAGGCCATCGCCGCCAAAATGGAGCTCAGGAGCCTGTTTTTGCTGGCAGAGTGCTCGGGCCGCCACAGGCGCCCCCAACATGAGTTACGTCGAGCTGGCCACGCCCACCCTGGTCACGCCCACCCCCAGCCACCCAAGGTCAAACACAACCCTGATGCGGCCCTCAATGAAATCGAGTTTGACACCCCTGCCCTAAGTGGTAACCTACGGAGCCCACCTGAGTTTGGGAAGTCCTGGCTGCACCTGGTGCCTCTTTGATGGTTGCCTCTTTCTCTGCTCAAGAGCCTGCCTTGGGAGGCGGTCCCCAAGCAGAGGCGGGCTTTGATGGACGTCTTCCAAGAGAGCGTCCTGGAAAGGCTGCCGTGGAGCTGTTCGTGCAGCGATGTCTCCTCGGTGCAGCTCAGCACAAAGGCGTCTCAGGGCTGCGTAAGTGCTCGCACTGTTGCATCGCTTGGTGCTTCCTCTGCTTTCAACCTCTCCCTTAGTCCGTAGCACCTGGCAGAGCTCTGGTAGATAAGTGGCACTTGGCAGTGGTGAACTGTACAAACTCCCTTTGTCTCGTTGGCTTGTAAGTGGTCCCTCCTGATTGCGATTGTGGTGTGTTTACTGTCTGCTACTCCTGCAGGCCGGGGAGTTGGGAGGGCCCAACCATTGAGTGATTTAGCATGAAAGGTCTTCCTTTAAATTAGAAATTGCAATCTTTGGTTCGTGGGCCATGTGCAGGGGTGGGATTCTGCCGGTTTGGACCAGTTCGGGTGAATCCCTAGCTCCGAAGATCAGCCGGGAGTGAACCGGTTTGCTCCGACAATCATGTAGGCCTGCCCTGTACTGACGTTTATTGTCCCAGCTGATCAGCGTGGAAGAGCAGATTGCTGCTTCTCAGCTGTGTTACTCCCCCGAAGTAACGCAGAAGGTAAGGATTTTTGCATCGCCATTCACACATCCACAGCGCACATCGAGCGTGCGCACACATGTGTGAAGCGCACGATCACAGAACTGGTTGTTACCCTGGCAACGTCCCACCCCTGGCCGTGTGTAATCTTGGTCTGCTTAGAAATAGCCCCAGGACATTACTTTCAGATTCCCTCTGAAGTTGATCGATCCAGGCTTTGTGCAAGAACAACAGGTAGTCCTCAACTTACAACCACAGTTGAGCTCCAGAGTTCTGTGGTTAAGTGAGACAGTTGTTTTGCTCAAGGTTATGAGCTTTCCTGCCACAATCACTAAGTGAATTACAACAGTTCTTAAGTCAGTGGCATGGTTGTTAAATGAATCCCATTGGCTTGGCTTGTCAGACGGTCGTAAAATGGGGATTACATGATCCCGGGGCATGGCAACTGTGTAATATAACTCAGCTGCCAAGCAGCCGTATCTTGATCTCGTGACCATGGGGGTCGTTAAGTGTGAAAAACGGTCAAAAGTAATTTTCTTCAGGGCCTTGTAACTCCGGTCACTAAATGAATTGTTTGTAAGTCGAGGACTACATGTATCTTCCTCGATGGCATCCTGTCTGGAATAAAGAGAATGAGAATGAGAAAGAATGGGTCTCTTCACCCATTTTTGACCTTTACCCACCTACAACCTGATATTTGAGACAATACGGTGCTTCCCCAAAAATTATACTTAACTCTTGTACTGTTAAGTCTGCTGAAGACCGAGGTCTCCAAACTTGGCAACTTTAAGACACTATGCTGGCTGATGTGATGACCCAGGGTGGGATACAAAACAAGTCACAGAAAACAGGTGCAGCCCCTTTTATTCCTTCACTTTGCTTCCAAGTTCTGAATATCTTTGAAGGAAGACAAAAAACTCCCACACAAACAGTTACAAGAAGAAGGGGAAAAGCAACACAAACCAGGCAAGATAAGGGCTGGAGGATGTCCAGAGATAACACACACTGGGAAGGACGCCAAACTCAGAGAGGAACTATAAACTAGAGATATTTCCACACTTTGTTTCCAGCATTTGCCAGTACGCAGGTCCAAACTCTTATCCAGTTGTCACAGCTGCAGCCCATGAATAGGATCAAGGCCCTCTCCTCCCAAGTAGACCACATCTCTCCCTTATCCTCTCCTCCCTGCGTGCCCTAGGATGGATAGGGGATGGGCCTGGGTCCTCCTCTGCCTGCTCAGCCAGCCTCTGCCCTTCTCCATAACCTCCGGAGCCACACTTCCACTCCCTGTCGGTTGATCCTTCTCTCCCTCAGAGTCAGTCTCCATCAGGGGCATGACAGCTAAGGAATTCTAGGAGTTGAAGTCCACAAGTCTTAAAGTTGCCAAGTTTGGGGACCACTGGTTTAAGAGATGAGATAAAGAGAAGCAGTTACTTCTTCACACGTGCTATCATAATCTGGCTTGTTTGGTTTGGCATAGCCCAGGGTGTAAATTCAGCTGATCAACCACGCTGTATGGCTTAATGAGGCTGGTACATCAGGCCTATTCAACAAATTATGATTAAAACGAGCCATTAGTTAGGATGTAACCCCCAATCAGGGATCATTGCTAAGGAGAATTTTAAGTTCTGTGAATAGGAGTTTTGAGCAGGGATTCGTTCAAAGGGCTGCATTTCGCGCACCGTTTTTAATTCCATGTTACCAATACGGCCATCGTTTATACTAACTTTCTTGCTAAAGGCTTTTGGGGGTGATATAGCATGAGACAGAAAGTCCCAACTCAGAATGGTTACCCCCAAAAGCCAACGCTGCTGAGAACTAGCTGGTCTCTCTTCCCTGGGGGTTTGCCAATGTCTATGGAAGGCAGAGCAAATTACTTAATTCTGCCAGACATGCCAGCATCAACATCTGGGCGGATGATTTTCTCCAGATGGTGAGCTTGATGCAAAGATTGAGGAGCAATGGAAGAAAATGAATTCTGTTAGAAGCCAGTTCTTCTCCCAATCATAGACCACACCAACTGATTCTTGGTTCTCTCTCCACCCAAATTGAACAGCCTCCTGTGTGTAGATAAGAAGGAGTAAGGCTGAGATTACGGGGCTTGGGAGGTGTAAAGTATCATCCCACCCTCCATGTCCTATCTCAACATTAAACGTTTTCAAAGTATGTTATTAAGAATAGCCAGCGGAAGGTTTCAATCTTGTAAAAAATGCAAATACGTCTATTTGCCCCTGGGTCATTTGCAAGATGATACGGAGGGGACCCAGCAGCCGGAACTGGTTTTGGTTAGTTCAGCTGCACAGCCTTGTGTTTACCTGGAGGTGGCACATCAGGTCCAGGAAGAAGAGCTGTTGATATTCCAGAAGGTGGCAAAGTTGGGGCTGTGGAAAGAAGGGATGTGAATGAGTGTGTTTGTGGGTGGAAGAGGTCCTGGTTGGGTGCTCATTCTGACCTGCCGTGCTCGGTGCAGTTGTATCTCACCCGTGTTGTTGTTTTCTTCAGAACATGCTGCGGCAGCAGGAGGAACTGGAGAACGGAGCAGCCTGGTCCATCTCTTCGGAGTCGTCTGATGACTCGTCCAGCCCCCAGCTGTCCGGAAGCGCCCGACATTCGTTGCCCAGGCCTATTGTGCAACCTGCAGTGCAGGCCACTGCGCCCGCCATTGAAATCGCTTTCACCCACCCCGAGGAGAAGGAGCCGGCAATCCGAGAGGAGGCCTCCATGGCCAACGGACACGTGCCCTATGCCCGGACTCTTAGCCAGATCAGTGAAGCAAGTGTAGACATGCCCATAGCAGAAGAGAGGGAGTGTCCTGTCCCCAAGGAGCCTGGCCCTTGGGTTGTCCCTCCCTTGGAAACGAACTCCTCGCCCCCAAGTGTGGGCTCGCAACTGGACACTCAGGTCTGTGAGGACGAAAAGCAAGAGGATGAACCTGATGCGGCTACCCCTGTTGGAGAGGAGAGTGGGGACCCTCCTGGTCCAGCCCCAGAGGTTCAACAGCCCAGGTCCTCCTTGGCCCTCCCATCAGCCTTGGGACAGCTACAGCCATCAGGGATCTCAGAAGCACCAAGGCCCAAACCTGTGGACTCTGGCCTGGAGGAGGCCATCAATACACTGGCTTCTGCTCTGGATGACTATCGGGGCCAATTCCCTGAGTTGCAGGTCCTGGAGCAGGAACTCAAGCATCTTGAGGAGATTCTCTTGGTAAGTAAGTGGGGTAGAAAGCTCAGGACCGCATCCAAAGCTGGTGGGGTTCTCATAGCATTTAAACAAAGAAACTCGACACTGCCTTCCTGAGGTCTTCTTATACTGATGTGTTTTAAGCCAGGAGAGTGTGCTGCAGCTGCCATGAAAGCCAATGCAGTTCCAGGCTGCATTAACAGAGGGATAGAATCAAGATCATATGAGGTGTTAGTACCAGGGGTGGGATTCTACCAGTTCGCACCTATTCGCTAGAACCGGTTGTTAACATTCTAAGCAGTTGGGAGAACCGGTTGTTAGAAGAAATTACTGGCCTAATCCTGTAAGGAAGGCAGGAAGGAAACATTCTGGAGTTGCTTACAGAAACTGCCTCTCCGTTAACCCTTATTCCGTTCTTGGCAGGACTAGACTTCCTGTCTCAGGAACTTCTCTGGAGTTATTTTCCCCCTCCTTTGCTGGTACTTTGCTTGTATGGAGTGACCATTCAAAGTTACAATGGGACTGAAAAAAGTGACTTATGACCATTTTTCACACTTACGACTGTTTCAGCATCCCCACAGTCATGAGAGGCCAGGCGAGGAGATGCATGCCTCGACGTGAGTGATATTGAGTTGGCCACACCCAGCCAATAACATGACCACCAACCCACGCCCACCCAGTCACATGATCAAGCCACGCCGACCACCTAAGCCATGCCCACAGAACCGGTTGTTAAAAAATTTGAATCGCACCCCTGGTTAGTACCACTTTATTCCAAGGCCACACTTGGAATACTGCATCCAGTTTTGGTCTCCACGATGTAAAAAAGATGTTGAGACTCTAGAAAGAGTACAGAGAAGAGCAACAGAGATGATTAGGAGGCTGGAGGCTAAAACATATAAAGAACGGTTGCTGGAACTGGGCATGTCTAGTTTGATGAACAGAAGGACTCGGAGTGACATGATCGCAGTGTGCCAGTATCTGAGCGGTTGCCCCAGAAATGAGGGAGTCAAGCTATTCTCCTTATTGTCCTAAGGAGCAATAGATGCAAATTAATCAAGGAGAGAAGCAACCTAGAACTAAAGAGAAATTTCCTGATAGAACAATTCATCCGTGGAGATCACAAGGATTTTTTTTAAAATATATTTTTATTAAGTTTCTTTTATTACATCATAAAATATCTCAATTCCAACAGCATTCTTGGCATCCATACAGGTTCTTAAATTAAATATCATAATACATTACATTACGTTTAACTAATATTAAATAATAATTTCCACTATAATTGTTATCCTTATATCTTTATATAATTTACATATTTACATTTTACTCCCATAAGGATTATTTCAATTAGATTTCTTAGTTCTGTTTGTTAGCCATTTATACCAGTTGTTCCAGATTAAAAAGAATTCTGAGTCATTTTTTGCTTTCAGTCCCAATGTTAACATATTCATCTCAGCACTTTCCGTTATTTTATGTATTATCAATTCTTCGTTGGGAATATTTGATGTTTTCCATACCTGCGCAAAGGCTATTCTGGCAGCTGTTGTAATGTGTAGCAATAAATATTTTACTTCTTTTGGTAGTTTATCCTTGATGATTCCTAGAAGGAAGGTTTCCGGTCTGAGCTCAATCCGGTACCCAGTAATCTCTCTTGTAACCAATTTTTGATTTGGAAGAGATCACAAGGATTGTCTGGCTACCCATGTGGAAAAAAATAAAACTGAGCATTGCAACTTTTAGCAATCTCTCTTCTATATCAGGGACATTTTTTTGGCCTGATTCCAAACGTCACGGGATTTTGAGTCATCTCCTTGAGATCTGTCAAAATCTCAAGAGAGTTAGTGATCCCATGAGATTGTTTTCCTGCTTTAAAACAAAGGCTATATTTAACTTTGGAAACTCCCCAGTCTGTGTTTTGAGATCTACTAATTGCCCATTCTGCATGACTGCGGCTCACTCTTTTAGGAGTTCTGGAATTCCTGCATCTGAAACCTGGTTTTGAGAACTTTCCCGAATGATGCAAAGCTTTGTGCATCTTTGTTTTATGTTTATGTCCATGTTGCACAATTCTGCTGACCAGTTCTAGGAAGGAAGACAAATGTTGAAGGGACCGATGTAGCTATACACTTCTTATGTATAGTAGATTATTTTCAGTTAAATTTCTCACCACATCTGCTCCTGTGAACTTTGGAGGGCAACTGTAGGGTATATCTTCAACTCACACACTTCCGCTGCCTTTTTTTATTTTTTTCCACAAGATAAACTTCCTGCCTATACATTAGAGGCCCATACTGGTTGTTTTGAGAAGGCAAATAACATACAAAAAAAAAAAAAACCTCCTTTGGGGAGAAATGCAGAGAATTCTGCACAGATCATTGGCTGTAGGTAGACTGCAATTTTAGGCTTTTGTGTTCACATAAACCGAGGAGGATACGAATGTGGTTTTTCTAGCAATCTTTGGATTTTAATGAAAACTCGGTGTGCTCAGATGCTGAACTGCTGTAATATAGGCATCTCCCAAATTTACAACAGATGACCTTCTAGGTCAGAAATTAAGGCCCAAGATTTTCAGCTGAAAAGGTATACGTAACTTTTGGGGCACCTCCTCTCGGAACATTGCTTTGGACATTAGACGCAAGAGTGTTTCATTTTTGTGTGGCGGGTGTGTGTTTTCTCTTGTTATGCTTGGATGCTTGGGCCAGTGGTGTGTTTCAAATATTTTTAACCACCGGTTTGGTGGGTGGGCTGGGTGGGCACACTTTGCGCATGCGCACACACTTTGTGTGTGCGCGTCCCCGTCCCCCCCAAATGCACATTTTGCGCAGGCGATTTGCAATCACCTGCAATCCTGCGCTCTCCCTGACGCTTCAGCAGCTGCCGCATTTGGTCTCCACTGCTCGTTGTCGCTACCGGCTTGGCAGAACCGGGCTGAACCAGTAGAATATACCACCACTGGCTCAGGCCCTGCAGAGCAAGAAGCAGAGTAGTGAGGAGAATTGCTCGATCCACAGAAGAGGACCTGTCTAACGCTTGTTTTTTAATTTCCACCCCACAAGCAAAAACAAGGGCTGTGCCTGAGCCGAGCCTCCAGTACCAGCTTGACGGTGGAACATGCGCTCGAGAGTTTCAGCTTCCTTAATGCTTCTGAATCGGAAGACTCGGAAGGAGACGATGACAAGTGAGTAAGCTGGCTAAAGCAGCGGTCGCCAACCTTTTGGACTTCAGGGACCAACAAACTCATAATTTTAAATCCCGCGGACCAGAGACCCTGGGAAAATCCCCAAAAAAGTCTACAGGAAAATTCCCCACACCTTTTTCCTACCGATCGATCATTCTTTATTTGGGATCACAGGATCCCGTCGCCAGCTCTGTTCTCAGGGAGAGGGAGAGAGAGAGAGAGACTTTTGGCTTCATGCAAGGAAAGCAGCAGAAGCAGCAGAAGTCTTTCTTTCTCTCCCACAAACTCCACCAGAAATGAGTCTTTGTGAGATTTGTCACAGCCTCTTGGAGCAGGAGGCCTTGCAGGGTCCCATTTCTGGCGGAGTTTGGGGGAGAGAAAGAAAGACTTTTGCTGCTTCCCTTGCATGCAGCCAAAAGCAGAAGAAGCGGAAAGAAGCAGCCCGGTGGCCAGGCCGGGCGAGTGGGGGAAGTTCCCCCCTCTGTCCTTTCCCCCCTCCACTGCCTAAGGGCTGGTTTAAAGGTGGCCGCAACTGCCCATAGCCAGCATTGCATGCGGGTGGCTCTCGACTTAACCACAGTTCATTCAGTGACCATTCAAAGTCACAAACAGCACTGGGAAAAAAAAGTGACTTACAACCGTTTTTACGACCCTTGCAGCATTCCCCTGGTCATGTGATCAACATTCAGACGCTTGGCAACTGACTCGTATTTATGACGGTTCCAGTGTCCCATGATCCCCTTTTGCAACCTTTTGACCAGCTTAACAACCGTGTTACTGTCGTAACAGCTGCAGCAATTCACGTAACACCTCGGGCAAGAAAGGTCGTAAAACGGAGCACAGTTCACTTTTTACAGCTGTCTCGCTTAGCGACGGAGATGTTGGGGTCATTTGAGGTCATTAAGTCAAGGATTGCCCGTGCCTCCTGTGTCTGGCTGGACGCTGCTCCCTCCAAGCAATTGTCTTGGCAGGGTTTGCCACAGGATGCCAGGAACTGGTGCTGATGGCAGCTGTTGGCAAACCCTCTAAAGCCACCTGGTCTAACAGGTGGAGGCTGGCAGAAAATGCAGCAGCAGCGCCACTCGGTGGCCAATGCCTGACACTGCTGCTACAATCAGTTCTCTCCCCCCCCCACCCTCTTTTTTTAAAATTAATATTACTCCAAGAAATGTAACCAGGCAACACACTGTATATATGGATTTTGAACACGTTGCTCTTTCTTTTTAGCTTTCTCTCTCTCTTTCTGCGCGTTGGATCAGATGGGGACTAACCAAGCAATATTTTAATTCCAAAGCTACAATCGATTTATTTTCCCCCCTCCTTTCTGTTTTTTCTTTGTTTATGGCCACATTACTTAGGTAAGGGCTTGCTTCGTTCACATTCACATTACTTCCAACTACATTTCTATTTCTCTCCCTCTCTTTTGTTTCGTATCTGTTAGACTTTCTTCATTAAAAGAACATTTAGGCTGGTGTGACAGATACTTTTCAAGCAAACGCGTTTATGTCAACAAAGCAAATCAGCAACTGGTTAGAGAGCAATGCTGGGTGTTTGCAAGAAAGTCAAAGGACATTATTTTGGGCTCTGGAGAAAATTTGTAATTTAGCAAGATCTCTCCCTCCCTCCCTCCCTCCCTCCCTCTCTCTCTCTCTCTCTCTCTCTCTCACACACACACACACACACACACACACACTCTTCTATTTGCAAGTGAGAATAGAATAGAATAATTTTATTGTCACTTTGAATGTATACTAATTGGTATACATTAAAAATGAAATTTCATTTTATACAGCTTTTAAAGGGTCACCACCTCCAGCTGTACACTACATAAACATGACAAGATAAATAAATAAATACAAAATAATGTACGTACCAACACATGTTATAGGACAGAAAAACAACACAATCTAGTTATACATGTTTATGGCGAGAAAAACGAATCTTGTGAATTCACCAGACGAAGGGCCTAGGGAACGAAGCTGTTTCAGAATCTGGTAGTCCTGGCTAGAAATACTTTGAAACCTCCTTTGACCAGCTTTCCAATATACATCGATCTGATCCTGCCTTCTCCACCCTGGTGGTTGCTCAGAAAGGATGGGCAAATTTATTCAGGTTGAGCCTTTGCGTTTTCCTTCTAAGCTGGATCTGGCCACCATGGATGGAAAGGGAGCCCATGGCCCAGGTGGGGGTTTATGGAAGACAAGAACCTGGATTATATTTTGCCCACTGCCTCTCTTTGCAGGGTGGCAAGCAATGGCCAAGCTCCACCTGTGGGCAAAGTGCCAGGGACTGCTGACACGGCGGCTGAAGACTCTGCTGGGTGCCTGAGCTCGGAGGGCAGTTTGGAGCCCATGACCACTGGCAACGAATTCCTTGACAAGGCCCTGGTCCTGCACCTGAACCACTGCAACCGTTTGCTTCTAGTGAGTGTGAAGACGTGTGTGTTTTTTTGTCCTCTGGTGTGTGCCTGCCCTCATCTTTTTGAAATCGGAGTTTCCCAATGGAAACTGGAACAGGGGTCTCCAACCATGGCCACTTTTAAGACTTGTAGACTTCAACTCCCAGAATTCCTCAGCCAGCAAAGCAAAGCAAAGCAAAGCTGGCTGAGGAATTCTGGGAGTTGAAGTCCACAAGTCTTGAAGTGGCCAAGGTTGGAGACCCCTGGACTGGAATGACATGATTTGGCGGTTTATTGATTTATTTGGCAAATTCATACAGCCGCCCATTTCACAAAAAAACAAACAGTACAACTGTAAAATAAAACAAATAGTATAGAAAACCTACAAGGATGAGCCGTGGTGGGTCAGTGGTTAGAACTGCAGTATTGCGGGCTAACTTGCTGCTCACTGCCAGCAGTTCGATCCTGACCGGCTCAAGGTTGACTCAGCCTTCCATCTTTCCGAGGTGGGTAAAATGAGGACCCAGATTGTTGGGGGGCAAGAGGCTGACTCTGTAAACCGCTTAGATGGGGCTGTACAAGCACTATGAAGCGGTATATAAATCTTAAAGGGCCGTTGCTATAAAAACCCTGCGATAGCAAGAGAATAATTGCCATTTGACATTACACAACTGTTTGCCGGCTCCCCATGGGACCCCCAGAGTTGGTGGGGAAAGCATCTTTTGAGGGTTTTCCGGAAGGACAAGCAGGGGTGGGACCAATCTCACCTGGGGAAATGATATTCCATTGAGCAGGAGGGAGGGGCACAGCAGAAATAGCCCATCCTCTAGGTCCCACCAGATGGAACTCCTGAAACGGTAGCGGAAATTTTGAGTAGTGTGGAGAACCGGCAAATCCCGCCTCTGACTGGCCCCGCCCCCGTCTATGCTCCGCCTCCCGAGTCCCAGCTGATAGGCTGGGTCTTCTTTTGTTGCCCTGCACAGGAGAACGGAGCTGGAAAGCAGGTTAGTGGGGTGGGGAGAGAATGGGGATTTTGCAGTATCCTTCCCCTGCCACGCCCACCAAGCCACACCACGCCCACCAAGCCACACCCACAGGACCTGTAGTAAACAAAATTGAATCCCACCACTGTTTCAGTGCCATTATAACTTTGAATGAGCATTAGATGAATGGTTGTAAATTGACAACTATCTTTAAATGGATCTTAAGTTATGAAATACATGAAGTACAGGTAAGTCCTTCACTTACAGCAGTTCATTTAGTGACAGACAGTTCAAAGTTACCACGGCACTGAAAAAAGGGACTTTTCACACTTACGGCCGTGGCAGCGTCCCTGTGGTCACGCCATCAGAATTCAGACGCTTGGCAACTGACCCGTGTTTATGACGGTGGCAGTGTCCCTTTTTGTAACTTTCTGACGAGCAAAGTCAATGGAGAGGCCAGATTCACTTCACAGCTCTCTTACGAACTTAACCACTACGGTGATTCTCTTAGCAACCGTGGCCAGAAAGGGGGCAAAACCGCTTAACAAACATCTCACTTCGCAACAGAAATGCACTGCCTGTAATAATTTTCCATGCCTGCCCCATTAAAACGATAATCCAGCCGCGTTTTCGGCCAGGGTTCTGAGCCAAAAGCGTTTGGAAGGGCACATATGCTCTTGGGGCTTTGGATTGCTGTGCCGGTTTTGCTCATCCTGACTTTTTGCACAACGGTGCACGTTAAAAGCGCCTTGGCATCGCATCTTATCTCCTTGTTGTGGTTCGCCGGCAGCCGGTGCAGACGGCAGAGGTATCTGACAGTGAGGACGAAAGGGAACTAGTCAGGGAGTCTGGCAAGGACTTGAATGAGGGTCCTGCATCTGATGCAGGGATGAGGCCAGGACCATCTGGGAGTTGTGTGCTGACTCCGGAGCCTCCAGAGTCTGGCAGCAGCGAGGCAGAGGAACAAGGGGAACCTGTTCCCAGTGTGCATGTGCACAGAGCTGCCAGAAGGCAAGAACAGCTGAAACAAAAGGGGCAACTCAGAAGTAAGGTTTGGAGGTGATTGCCCCCTCCCATAAGGGATAAAAGTCAGGCCAAGATGACGAAACCTTTGCAGGAAGCAAAGAAGTTCATTCGACTCTGATTCCTCATTGAAGCCCCGCGACTTCTGGTTTGTCTTTGCTGGAACTTCTGTCGGTTGATATTTCTCAGTAATGGGACTTCTGTTTCTTGGCAGCCTTTTTACAACCCTGAAAGGCGTGCTCTTATCTCAGGCAATTGTGTTTAATGAGTTTTGGCTGGGAATGCAAATCATTCCCAGTGTCGCATTTTTAAAAGTTTGCTTTTACACACCGTTTGTGTTTTCTTAATTTGAACGAAGCCTGGGTCAGAACACTCCTCTGACCCTCGTTTGGGATGTGTGTCTTGATTCACAGAAGCTGGGCAACTTTGGGCCTCTCCGCTGCCAGGAAATGTACGCCCTTGACAGGCTGGGGAGAGACGTGCAGGTCCTAGAGATGGCCAGTCGTCTGATCGTGGACCGAGCCGGGATGGCCGGCTCTGCTGAGGAAGGTAGGGCCGTGGGCACTCTGAAGCTGGCGACATCGGGCCCTGGCATACCCTTATGCTTGGGGAGGAGGGGATCAACACTGAACAATCAGAACGTGTTGGCAGACCACTCACGCATAATCATAAAATCCTCAGAACTGTAAAGCCCACAAACTTTAAATTTGGCACGTATGTTCCTCTTGGCTTCTAGGTGCTCACTAAGAAAGGATTTTTCAAAATGACCATCAGAGCATTAGTACTTCCTATACTATTATTAACACGCTCTGATGCTAAGGAGTTCTACTCCCCCTTCCCACCTGAAAAAAAATCTGTTCCAAATGCAAAACACAAGCAGAGGAGAGGAGTGTCAGAGATTCAGAGCAGCAAGCAGCTTTCCTACAGATCAGTTGAGCTAAGCCACGCCCAAGCTCCTTGATGTCTCCTTGCTCACACAGCAAATACTGTTTCAGTTTCCAAACAGCCCTCAACTCTCTCACACAATGACAGAACGCTAACCAGATGAATACTGGTGGATGCTGGTAGACAGAGGCACATTTTTCCCCCTTATTTTCCGCCCCAAAAACGTACGCCTGATCACATAGTTTCGTAGCGAGTAGAGAGCTAGTATATTCTAGAAACCAACCTTTCCTGGAAGACAACGCACAGGGTGTGTAACTAAGGCATATATGAAGGCATCAACAAACACAATAGGGATGCGTCTGTTTCATTGTGGAATTTGCTTTCCTCTTATTTTTATTTATGGGAAGAATGTACTTATTTGGGATTGTTATTAGCCATGCCCACTTTCCCCATAATTCCATGTGTGGCAGGCGGACTTTTTCTATTTTTACTTCAAAGGGTTCATCTATTTATTTTGTAATTGTTGCTTACATCAAGATACTTTACAAAAAACAAAACAACTTTTAGAACCAATTCTGAACTAGGTATCTCTGTTCCCAAAACTGCTAGCCAATCAGCTTTGTACACAGCTGATTTTGTACATTAGCTGCTTTTCTCCAGATATAACCTGAGAGGGTTGTAGAGGAATAAGGTACACCTTGATGATAAACTTCAGTTGGTATGAATAATTAATATTTATAGTGGAGCGCAGTGGTTCGTGTGATTAGGATGCTGGGTTAGAGGTGAGCAAGCCCGCGTTTGAGACCCAGTGCTGCTGTGTGGTGGGGTGAGCTCCCGTCATTCGCTCCAGCTCCCGGGTGAGGACATGAAAGGAATTGCCACAGGTGTCCCACGGGCAATGGCGACGTCACGGGCTAATCCTTTGAACCCAGAAGCACCTTAAACAGTGCCTCTGACACAAACAGGACGGGGTTAACATTTATGGAAGAAGTTTCATAAACTCAAGGCTGCGAGTCAAGGCGAAGTCCCTTCTTTTAGATCAGGGGTGTCCAACCTTGGCAACTTTAAGACTTGTGGACTTCAACTCCCAGAATTCCTCAGCCAGTGTTTTAGATGGTGATGGGATAACCAGAAGTGATAATTGTGGGCCTTGTTTCTGTTCTCAGTCGTACAGTTCTCAAAGCGGAAAGAAGGAGTTTTCTCTTTCTGGGACAGAGGTGTGGCCGTCCCTAACGTGTATACCTGCTCCGTAGAAATGTTCATGCAGAACTTTAAGGCCGAGTATGCAGCACGCATCAATGACCGTCAGCTAGGTTTGGCCGATTCAGGTGAGTGTATTTTGCATTCAGAGCAATTCCTGCTTTATTTCTCTCTCCTTCTCCCCTCCAGATTCTAGATCAGGGATCTTCAAACTTGACAGCTTTTAAGATTTGTGGACTTCAACTCCCAGAGCAACTGTAAAGCCATACAAATGATTCTTACTTAATGACCACAATTGGGATGGGCAACTTCATTGGCTAATTGATTCAGTTGTTACATGAAAAGACACGGACCGTTTGTCTGTTTGTCAATTCTGGCTGCAATTAAGTGAATCACCCTGGGTTGTTAAATGTGCTGTCACGTGACTTGTGGTTTCCTCTTGGCCTCCCCTACTGACTTGGGAAAAATTATTAATGGTCACATGATCACAGGATGCTGCAAGGCTATAACCGCGAGATAATTACCAAGAATCTAAACCACGTGACTGTGGGGACACTATGTGACAGTTGCAACTTGAAGGACTGGTCTTAAGTCCTTTATTTTAGTGCTGTCGTAATTTCCAACCATTGCTGAATGAATGATTACTAAGTGAGGACTGCCTATACTTGTGGGACACAGTGTCATGCCCTTGTTAGAGTCAGACTCTGAGGGAGAGGGGGAACAGCCGGCAGGGAGTGGAGGAGTGGCTACGGAGGTTGTGAAGGAGGCTGGGGAAGAGCAGAGCTGGGCAGTCAGAGGAAGAACCAGGCCCATCCCCTCTTCATCCTAGGACACGCAGGGAGGAACAACTTGGCCTACGAGAGAGGAAGCGGCCATGATCCCCCTCATTGGTTGCAGCTGGGGAGAATCGTATATAAGAGAGACAGTTAAAACACAGCATTGCCAGAAGCAAAGTGTGTTTTATTTTGGGCCGAAGTTATCTTGGTTGGTGTCCTTCCAACAGACTGTGCCTTGTTATCTCCTTGAAGTTGGTAATTACTTATCCTGGTCTGTTGTGGAATTTCCTTCATTGTAGTTTGTTTTAGTTTTTTATTTCACCTCTATCTGCTCATTAAGTTCGGACTGTATTGCTTTCTTCTGAAGACTATTTTTGAGTAAGTTTTATCTCCAACTGAGAACTATTGAACAGTAGGGCCGAGTTGGAGGCATTAAAGGACATTTATTTACGTTTTGGATTTTGTTACGTTTGTGTTACACTCCGGGTCATCACACACAAAGCATAAGCAGACGGATTCCCAATCATTTATATATTTCCAGTCCTACTCAAGAAGCAATTGTTCCATTGTTCCTAAGATTCGTGTCTATGTTCTACTAGTTTAACCAAAGAGCAAATGGTGGCTTCCATACTATTTGGGTTTGGCTCCAGGAAGTTTTCGAGTTCTGCTCCTTAGAAATGACACTAACGCACGGAGCGTCTCTTCCTGTTGCAGTGTGTGTAAAGCTGGTGGAAGAACTTATGGGCCACAGGCTGCCCAGGCGTCAGGGGAGTTGTCAGGCCGAGCAAGTCACCCTCTTTCAATATTGGAGCCACTTTGAGGTCCTGCCTGCGGTTACACTGGACTCCTACATCATGGAGCTGGCTGAAGAAGGTAACGTGTGTTTAACAACGTTATGGTGGGGATGTGCAGCTGTTTTGTTGCAGCTGGGGGCACCAGGAAAGGGTCTAAGAGTCCCAAAAAGAAAATACGTATTGCTGAAGATCAGTGTGTTAGTCCTATGTTTCAATGGTTCTACCTAAAGCAGATGTGTCCCAACCTTGGCAACTTTAAGACTTGTGAGACTTCAGCCTGGTGGGGAATTCTAGGAGTTGAGAAATTCACAAATCTTAAGGTTGGATATCCCTAAAGTACGGTGGAGCTACCACATATAGCTCTCTTAGGATACAAGAAGTATGCTTGACACCAGTGTGATAGCAAGCTGACATGCTCGTGTGAATACCTGCCATAAATTAAGTGCCATATATTGGTCTCAGTGTGATCTCAAAAGTGAGCATGTTCAGCGTGGACCGTCTTAAAAACCACCCAGAAGGAAAGCAGTGGGATTGGGTTGGTGATATTTTCCCGGTTGGAATATTATCACCTGCTTTGGGGCAAGATCCAACATGAATCGTAATTGTCATTAATACCAACGCTTGTCCTTCAATTGGCCCGCAGTCCTGCTAGCACAGAACCTGAATTCTGACGACCAAGACGTGGTCTTGAAGGCACTGAAGCGAGTTCCCGAGAGCCGGCTACGCAAGGATGGACTGAAAGCTTTGAGTTTGCTTCTTGTGGAAGGAAACCCCAAAGTTATTGGGGCTGTAACGGCACAATTGCGCAACCTCTCAGAGAATCCCAGTTTTCGGGAGCGGGCAAGTATTTAATTTTTTACTGCAGCACGGGAATGGATAGATGAACAGATACCTCATTCTTGCCCGCAGCCACGTTACACATTCTTAAAAGAATTGTTTCATTTCCTGGGCTTTTACGATGTAATTTAATTGCTGAAATTTGGAGATGACGAAGGTTGTTCATCAACCATAGGGAAGAGTATTGTGGGTTGACAGATTTTGTGGTGCAGGTTTTATGATGGAAAAAGGAAGGCATTTATAAAAATCCATTCCCCCCCCCCCATTCTTTATTTGCATAAACTTTCACGAAGCCAAGGGTTCTGACCCAACGACGCACGTCACTTTAAAACAAGAGGTTGTTTTCCTTTGAGGCCAAGCAGCGTGATTGCTTTGATGTTTTTTCTCAGGCCCTTATCTGCTTCCTGGAGCAGCTGGAAGATGAAGAGACACAGACACGGGTGGCTGCCTGTGCAGCTCTGGGCTGCCTTAAGGTGAGGGCTGGTTCTTCCGAGCATAATCACCTGTAGCTCCGCGTCTTTCCTGGCATTTACTGGCTGCTGCTTCTCCGAATAAATTTGGAGACACCACTCGGAAGAAGCTGGCTTTTAGAGATTGTTTTGTCTGTCTGTCTGTGTCTGTCTGTCTATCTGTCTACATCTACATACATACCTACTTCTACCGATCTACTTATATCTACATACCTACCTACATCTATCTATATACTTACATCTACCTACTTATCTACATCTATCTGCTTACATCTATCTACCTACCAACTTACATCTATCTATATACTTATATCTACCTACCTATATCTATCTACCTACCTATATATATCTACTTACATCTATCTACCTACCTACCTACATCTATCTATCTACTTATATCTACCTACCTACCTATATCTATATACTTATATCTACCTACCTACCTGTCATCTATCTACCTACCTATATCTATCCACCTACCTATATCTATCTACTTAAATCTAGCTACCTATCTACATCTACCTATCGTCTATCTAGCTATTATCTATCTATCTACTTACATCTGCCTACCTACCTACCTATAATCCATACACCCATCTATCCATCCATCCATCCATCCATCCATCCATCTACCATCTATCTGAGATTTATGTACCACCCATTTTGCTGTCCAGATGCCTTCAGTGGCCACCCTTATGAGCTTATGAGTTCTACTTGAGTCCTCAGCCAACTTCAGTCTGTGGAGCAACCTGAACTGAAAAAACCTACTTAGCATCCTTGGGAAAGATGCATTTTGCTCCTTTTTCTCTTGGAAAAGCATCCCCTATACCAGGGGCCCACAGCCCCGGTCCATGGATTAGCACCAGTGTATGGCATGCCAGAACCTGGGCCGCGCAAACAAGTAAAGCCCCATCTTTGGGAGGCAGGCAGTGTGTGAAATCATGCCCTCTCCGGTCTGTGGAAAAACCTATCTCCACGGAACCGGTCCCTGGTGCCCCAAAATTGGGGGGGCCACTGCCCTAGAGGTGTCTCTAAATACAGTCAGGCTTAAGAAATCCATCACTAACTCAAGTCATTGGTTCCACTGTCAAAGTGTTCTACCTGTAAGATTTTTTCCCCCCCGGTGTTCCATAACTCTGGTCCCGAATACTGCAATCGGGAAGGTGGATCAGGGCTGTGGTCTGTGCAAGCTCCCTTCGGATCCTTAAGGAATTATGTCATTTCCTTTATCTTAACGCTTCCCCCAACCAACAGGCCAAGGAGAGCATTGAACAGCTGGTATATCTGTGCCAAACTGACAAGGAAGCCGTGCGGGACGCCGCCAAACAGAGCCTTCTTATGTGCGGTAAGTGAGCCTCTCTTGCCCTCTTTCCAGGCCGCTTTAATCTTCTCCTGCCTTAGGAGGAAGGCTTATTGCTGGTGGGTGTGGGGTCTCAGTACACAAAGGACTAGTTCAGTTGACTGTATACTAGATGGCGCTGCTTCTGTATAAGAGCCGTCCTTCCTAAATCTCCAGTCCTTCTCTTGATCTCTGCTGGTATCACAGCCGAGGCTGGCCTCCCACTCTATCAGTACTACTCCTTGCTTAAGGAAAAGTGATGCATGCACTGCATCCGTGGTGGCGCAGCAGTTAGAATGCAGTAATTGCAGGCTAATTCTGCTGACTGCCAGCAGTTTGATTCTGACCGGCTCAAGGTGGACTCAGCTTTCCATCCTTCTGAGGTGGGTAAAATGAGGACCCAGATTGTTGGGGGCAGATATGCTGACTCTGTAAACTGCTTAGAGCAGGGGTCGCCAATCTTTTGGACCTCAGGGACCACCAAACTCATAATTTTAAATCCCGCAGACCAGAGACCCTGGGAAAATCCCCAAAAAAGGAAAATTCCCCACCCCGTTTTCCTACCGATCGATCATGCTTTATTTGGGATCACAGGATACCGTCTCCAGCTCCGTTCTCAGGGGGAGAGAGAGACTTTTGGTTTCATGCAAGGAAAGCAGCAGAAGTCTTTCTTTCTCTCCTCCAAACTCCACCAGAAATGAGTCTTTGTGAGATTTGTCACAGCCTCTTGGAGCAGGAGGCCTTGCAGGGTCCCATTTCTGGCAGAATTTGGGGGAGAGAAAGAAAGACTTTTGCTGCTTCCCCTGCATGCAGCCAAAAGCAGAAGAAGCAGAAAGAAGCAGCCCGGTGGCCAGACCAGGCGCGGGGGGCGAGTGGGGCAAGTTGCCCCTGTCCTCCCTCCCCTCACTATCTCATGTTGTGCATAATGCAAGGGACACAAGACTTGTATTCCCGCAGGCCCTTTGGGTGGCACAGCCTTGTGTCCCCACGCAGCCTGGATTAATTGCTTCGGGGGAGGGGGTGCCATTTCTCTGTGGACCACCAAAATGTCCTCACAGACCACCAGTGGTCCCTGGCCCACTGGTTGGCAACCACTGGCTTAGAGAGGGCCGTAAACTAAGCACTGTGAAGCGGTATATGAGTCTTAAGTGCTAGTGTTATCCTGGGAAGAGAATAAAGGCACTTATGTAGTCCTTGCTGTTTATTATCCTTTGATAGATGGCACTGAAAGAACCCTCTGATGGGGCTCAGTAGAACTCCTGGGTCAGGACAGCGGCTGCACAGGTCGGGATCTCGTAGCCAGCCGGTTAGCTACCCTTCCCTGCCCTTGTTGCATGTCTAACTGGTGTCTCTTGTCCTGGGTCTCATCAGACCTGACGTGGTTGGGTTTACGTCTTCCACCGTGGCCACGCGTGGCAGGCATCTCCCAGCTGTGCTTGTGTTCTGGCTGTGCACGTCTCTGTCTTTGTTGCATATGGAATGGCACGCCGGTTGAGGGACTCTGCCTTGGTCCCAGATGTGAAAGGCTGACACAAGATGCTACGACGGACCAAAATGAGATTCTGTGTGTTGTGTGAATCTAATAACTTTGTCTCAAGTAGAAATGAACCACACCGTCCCGTTCACCCTAAATGTGGTTTATTTGTTCGGGTGTTGCATGCGGTACGAACCCGGTATATTTGTGTTTGGTTAATTTGGGCTTAAGAGTTAGCATGTGGTGTGAAGCAATTGAGTATTTGGCCACCTAGCACTGCATTGCCCAGTAGCCTTGGGTTGCCATATGGCTTTTGATAGGATCCCACATGCGGGGAAGGCTCATCCAAAGCAGGATTCAGGATTTCAGCCAACACTTTCCCTTCAACCCAATAAAACTAACCCATTTCATTAACAGCATGAATCAGAGGAGATCCTAAATAAGGTTCGAGTAGAATCCCGAGATTATTTCAGAGCCATGGAGTGAGCCAAAGGCATAAGCGATGCTTGAATGCTCAGATGGCCAGAACTCACGTAGGTCTTTCCCTTCACCCAATACCTGATCTTTTTAATCAGAGAAGTCAGATATTAAAGACAGTTCTTTTGAGGGCAAACCACACCCAACTTTCTGGTTTGTCGTTGGCTTCTCTGTATTGTCCCTTGATTTTTAAGGAAAGCGCTTTTTTTTTTTTTTTTTTGGAAGTCCTTTCAGCTCAGGGTATTTTGCATTTTTAAGAAGCTTGAAAAGTTTGGCAGAGTAAAAGGTCTGCATGGGCGATTCATTTATTGAGGAGTGGGGAGAGGAAGAGGAAAATAGATTGAGTACTTTCTTCAAACTCCTATTGCCCCCAATCCTGATACTCACAGAAGCTCATTTAAACCCTGGTCGAGAAGCAGCTCAGAAACAATGGGGTGAAAATTCCCCAGGCTCTTCAATGCTAGGAATACTTATCAGAGACCATACTTAATGGAAATAAATTTGGAATTTTTTTTCCGTGACCTTCCCCTGCTCTTTTAGGGTGTGGGGCCACTCAAAAGCCAAAATCTGATCCTTGGCTTGAGAAATCAACATTTACATCCTGTAAAATATACCTAAATTTCTGGTTGAATTTTACATTTCACAGCTACCAGGATTTTAAAACATACTGTTTTATTCATCTGCAAATTCTCTAAAGTTGTCTGCAGGCAGCTGGAAGAGGTTCATGACATTAATTCCTTTCAAAATGTGGAATGGAGGGTACACCCAGATTCTACAGAATTCGGAAAAGCAAGCAAGATGATTTAATTTCCCCTGGACTTTATTAGCCTTCCCCAATCTAGTGCAAACTCCCAAATTATCAAAAGTTCCTAGGAATTCTAAGAACTGCTACTCACGTGTCTCAGAAGACACCAGAGCATTGGGCGATTGTGCTAAACATTCCTTATCTCTGAAGGACAAACATGGGCCTGGTACTTAAGAGCAACCCAAGGATATGTTTGTACAGATTGAACAAAATGCTTGATAAAGGCCTTTAAATGAGAAGTGTGATTTCTAAATCCACATGCTATACATAGTCTGTTGCAATGTCTATCCAGCCATTCTGTGTCAAGTTATCCGCTTAGCATGCTGAGATGTCTCTTGCTCTGAATTTTACACACAAAGTTCTCCAGATTGTCAGCCTAACGATGTATGTCTCCCAACCATCCTTCCCGTGTTTACATGCATGTGGTCCAAAGAAACATCAGCATGGAACAAATGATAAAATATATTTATATAGCCCTGGGTACAACGTAAGTGAGAGGGCAGACATAGTGAAATATGTGCTCAGTTGAAGGGCTTCACATTGTATGTTTGGTGGGGCCCTTCAAACAAAATTTTGTGTTGACTAATGAGATGTAAGAAGTATATTAGAGACTTAACACAGAATAAGATAGTTGGTAACAAAACCAAAAATGTTTAAGAATTGAGCACATACTTAATCTTAAACACTTCTTTAAAAGAAGGAGTTTTGACAGTCAAGGTTTGCATTATGAATAATAATTATACTTGGATCATGCACCAGAGTCAAAATTCAAGCTGCAATTGGGCAACCATTTGTCTGAAATGGTATAGGATTTTCTGCCTAAGCAGGGGGTTGGACTAGAAGACCTCCAAGGTCCCAACTCCATTATTCTATTCTACTCTACTCTACTCTATCCTCTCTTTTCTATTCTCTACATTCTATTCTATTTCTATTCTATTCTACTCTATCCTTTCCTCTCTTTTCTATTCTCTACATTCTATTCTATTCTATTCTATTCTATTTCTATTCTATTCTACTCTACTCTACTGTACTCTACTTTACCACCATATTGTATAAACAATGTTCCTGAAAAGCTGCCACCATTTTGACTGCAAGTGAGCAGCCAGGAAACATCCCAAAAAGTTTTTTTTTTTTAACCCAGGCCAGATTTTTATACATGGCCGAAAAAGGCAGATTTTTTTTTTGTACAGGGCCTTCAGGTCAGCGCCTGCAGTGTCTAAAGTTGAGGCAGAAATGTCCCTGATGGGCACCTGATTTCTGTGTATGTTTTCAGGGGACGATGGCAAATCAGCTCACCGAAGGCTAGAAGAATCCCTGGACAATTTGCCCCGGATCTTTGCCCCAGGCAGCATGGCCAGTACTGCATTTTGAAGGATGGCGGCCTCGATCTCACCTGCTGATCCTTTATTGGGCACACGGACCTTGTATGCCGACAGAACTTCAGCGGAGTCCTTCGAACCGAAGTCAACCCGGCCTCTGGCAGAGTGGGCATCTCCATCACCCGTGGGGCCATGCCCACAGCAGTATTAGGACCGCTGGCCTGCTGCCTTAGGTGGAGAATGCCTTAGCTCGTTGGCTCCAGCAGCAGCAGCAGCAGCACGGAGGCGATCCCTTCTGCGGTTTTCTTCCTCCTACAGAATCTGGTGTTGAACTGGGCATGTTATTGTTAGCCAGGACCAAAATAGATCCCTCTCGACTTGGATCTGCTGGAAAACAAACCAGCCACGGTAGGGCGGGGGGGGGGGGAAATCATCGGTTTGAGATACACTCGGGAAGATACACGTTCAAAGTCCAGCTTTAATGTTTAACCTGTTCTATTCTCCACTATTCTCTCCACCCTGCGGGGGCTGTGAATCTAGCAGGAAATTGGGCCCAGCTAGATTCTCTGTTAGGGCTTTGGATAAATTTGTAGGTTTCTCCTCTGGGATTGCAAGGTGGAGAGAGGGGGGGAAAAAACAACAAAAAACGACAGGAAGGAGTCCTTTATTCCCAGCGAAGGAAGGGAAACTAATGTCTTTATAATGACGACGCTATGGAAGATGGAAACCTAACGGGCAAAAGTTGCCTCTTCTTGTGCTATTTTAATATTTTTTATGTACGTGTGTGTGTGCTTGTGGTGCGTGTGTGCGTGTGTGTGTTGGGGGGAGGGAGGGAGGGAGGGAGGCAGCAGCCAAATGGCAGCAAAATGTCCTTTTCTACAAAGTATCTATAAATTTATCTGTACATCTACATAGCTATAAATATATATATATATATAATGTAATTATCAAGAGGTTTGGCTAATTTTGACTTTCAGCCTGAAATAAAAAGAACTTTGAGCAAATAAGTTGAAAGTGTGCAATTTTGTGGACTTTTTGGTTTGTTTGTCTGGTGGAGAGGTGGGCAGCTTTCCTCAGCAGCTGTAGGATGAGAGTACTGCAAATGAATTAGGTCAGCAAAATGTAACAGCTTTATTTTAATCATCGTTTATTTATCATTTATTTTAAACAAAGAAGACATTTAAATTTTTTTTTTCCTTTTGCCCTCAGAAGGCGGTTGGGCAAATTTGAGGATCAAACACACATCACAAGTCAACATATCTATTTCTCAGAACTGAAAAACTATACAATATTCATTTCTAGCTTTCCTACAACCACAATTATTAAGCCCCAAATTTCAGTTGCTAAGGGAGACACGTAAGTCAGTTTTGCCCCGTTTTATCTTTCTTGCCACTGTTGTTAAGGCGAGTCGAGTACAACGGTACTAGAAGTGACTTAGGACCATTGAAACGTCTCCATGGCCACATGGCCAAAATTCAGATGCTGGGCAACTGGCTCCTATTTATGACGGTTGCAGTACAGGTAATCCTCGACTTACAACCGTTCATTTAGTGACCATTCGAACTTACAAAACCACTTTAAAAAGGGACTGATGACCATTTTCCACACTGACTCACATTAACGACAGTTGCAGTATCCTGGAGTCACAGGATCCCCTTTTGCGACCATCCGACAAGCAAAATCAGTAGGGAAAGCAGATTCACTTACAACTGTGTTATTAATTTAAGAAACTGCAGTGATTCCACTTAACAGATGTGGTGAGAGAAGTCGTAAAAGGGGGCAATACTCACATAACAAATTTCTCACTTGGCAAGATAAATTTTGGGCTCAATTGTGGTTGTAAGCTGAGGACTCTCTGAAAGGCCAAACATGTTTGAGGGGAAAAAATATATATAAGCATAACTGAGCCAAAGCAGCTTACTCATTGCTTTGAGTTCAGGGATCAATATTCTGTTGGCTGGGCTTTCCATCCAATAATCCCAATTAGGCTTTACAATTTCACCAAAATACCGGTGGTTGCAATTTGCGATAAATCACACAAAATAATGAACCTGATTGCCCCTTGGTTGCAATATGAAAGATATTGTAATTTCTACTGTGTAAAATGGATTTCCTTTTCCAACCTGGGCTAGGACATTTTGAGGTACATTCTGAAAAGAAGCGAAACCCAGAAAAGGGAAAATTCATTTCTAATTCAAGAAAACCAGAGGCATTGGAGACCCAGCCTGTGGAAGGAATTGAGGAGATCCAGGTTAGTACACTATATGGCAGCCAAAAAAACTCCTCAAATCTAGCAGCGCCTTTCCCAAATAGCATGGTTTTTTAAAAAAACCTACGTTTTGAAAAGTTTATGCCCTTCAATAAATTGTGAGAATTGTATTTGCACAACATTGGAAAAATGAAGACACACCTACAGATGAAAGTATAATTAGAAAAATATTAGACTGTGCAGAGATTGATAGATTAACATTAATTATAAAGGATAAGGAAGAAACAATACTTTTAACATGGGATATGCTCTTATCAATGGTTGGGTAAAACAGGTAGAAACTAAAAGATGAAAGATTAATATATGTAAGAAAAGAATGCAAGAAATCATATACAAATATTAGTATTAATATTAGTTATATTATCAATATTATTGCATACTATAAGTAAATTATGTAAGAATTTTATTATAAATAAGCAATTAATAGTATTTTAATTATGGCTGTTATTAATATTACTCTCATTACTAGTTTACTTTATATGAACAAATGGCAGACAATACACTTCATTAAGCATTTAAGTATTTTAAAGAAGAAAAATGTATAAACAATTAATTTTTTTTAGAAAGGATGCTACCAGATTACAGATTTTTACACTAAACTGATAAAATGAAAAATAGAAAAAGGTAACGGCAATCACTTTTGTAATGTTGCCAAGAAATCCACATGGATGTGTCTATGATGTTCCCAAGAACTGACTTTGAGCTAGGGTGTTTTTACCTGTTGAGTGGTTAAGAAATGGAGGCACATGCGGTTGCTGCATACTTCCTGCACGATTGGAAGACGGTTTTATTTTTTTCAAATGAAATACGGATTTTCATTGGTGCAGATAAAGATAGGGATCTTAGCCTCTTCCAATTTCCATCACTTCCTTTTCTGAAAGCAGTACTTCATTAACTCCTATGGATGAATGGAATATGTGAAATCTGCCCATTAAGGACATACTGTACTGTCCTTGGACATTTCAAGGAAAATAATAACTCTCTTCGAAGGCCTCCAACCAGTTGATCGTGTTTTTGTTGCTATATTATGCCTCTGGCAAAATATGCATGACTCTGGAGAGTCTTGCAACTTTTAGCCTCTGCCCATCTGCATCGTGCCATGGTAGTCTGCAATTAAAACCCATTCTGGCACTGCAGAACCGTCAAGGCTCAGATTTTGCATTTATCTTTGAATATCTTGAAAAATGAAGAATGATTGTTCCTTTCCATTGGGCCGGCTGTGGACAGTCTCTTACGTTTGTCTGCCAAAGTTTGCAATGGTGCGCATACAAGTAGTTCTCAACTTACAACAGTTCATTTACCCGGTTCAAAGTTTTCAACAGCACTGAAAAAGGTGACTTACGACCATTTTTCACACTTGTGACCGTTGATCTGATAATCACACGATCAAAATTCAGATGCTTGGCAACTGACTCATACTTATGACCATTGCAGTGTCCAGGGGTCATGCAATCTCCTTTTTTGCGACCTTCTGACAAGCAAAGTCCATGAGGAAGCCAGATTCTCTTTAACAGCCAGATTAGTAACTTTTATCAACTGCAGTGATTCCCTTAAGACGCTTGGCAAGGAAGGTGGTACAATGGGACGAAACTCACTTAGAACAAATTCTCACTTGGGCTCAGTTGTGGTCATAAGTCGAGGACTTCCTGCACCGTCTGTCTGTTTGTGTTTTATTCCATGTACCTGGGGCTCCACTATGTATGGCTTAAGAGTGGAGGTATAACAGAATAAGAGTTGGAAGGGACCTTGGAGGTCTTCTAGTCAAACCCCGCCAGTCAAGAAGGAAACCCTAAACCTTACCTACAGATCCACGCATACATCTGACATGCACATACACACACATGCAAACACTTGTAAGCATGTGTATGTATGTTATGTACGTATAGATGCTTCTTTATGCTAACCCAGAAGGTGACCGGCCCAATCTCTCTTTCTCTCTCAGCCCAACCCACCTCACAGGGTTGTTGTAGGGAAAAATAGGAATATGTTCGCCGCCTTGAATTATTTATAAAAAAAATTAAGCTGCCATACAGATAAATAAATAAAACAGTAGGGTGGACATCTGCCTGCCCACTTTGGCAGCACCGCCTGCAGGGGGCGCCAGAGGGCGCCGTGACCCATGCCGCGAAGAGGAAAAGATTTTCCCCCGCCCTCCAAGGTCCTGAGCAGCCGTTCGTTTCGCCTCGCCCTCTTCCCGCCCAAACCGCTCCGCCTCGACACCCGTCCCGGAGGGGCGCGACGCCCTTCTTGCCCCGCAGCCCCGACCCACGAGGGAAGACAGGGGCAGCCGGGACACCCGTCAGAGACTCAGAGGAACGGAGGCCGCCCCTGTCACGGCCACCCTCTCCGGCTAGCGGAGGGGTGTGTAGTGGGGGGGGGGGTGCGTGACGTCACGGCCCCTCCCCGCGCCTGCCCGAACGCGGCCGCCCGATCCGGCCCGTCGGCATTTAAAGTTAGCGCCCAGCGTTTCTTCCCATGGTGCCCCGCGCGGGCGCTTCTCCCGCTCCCTCCTCCCCTCGATCGGGTCCGGCGGCCGCGGCTGCCGGGGCTCGCGCAGGCGCACCTCGCGCCCCGTCCGCCATTTTGTGTCCGAGGCGACTGTGGAGCGATTAAACCGCGAGCTGGTGCTGGGCGCTGGCGGTGGCCGCTAGCGGCGGGGCAGCGGCAGCGGGCGCTTGGCGGAGCCCAACGGGGCGGGGCCCGGGGCAGCAGGGGCGGCCCGGAGGCGCCTCCGGGGCAGGTAAGCGGCGCGGGGGGTTTGCAGTCGCTTTCTCCGGCCTCTAGGTGTCACGATGGGGCTCGGGCTGGGACCCGCCGCGGCGCCGCCGCCGCCGCCGCCGAGGATGGGGAGCGGGGCTTTGTCTCCCTCTATCGTCCCCACCGCCCTGATGCCGGCCTGGTACTGCCGCCCATCGGCCTCGCCGCGCAGCGCCTCTGCCGGAACCAGGCCGCGCCTTAGCGAAGGACGCCCGGGCGGCCTCGGAGGCTGCCTTCGCCGCCCACACGACGCCAGGCGAGGCCGCGCTGCCCAAAACCCGGCCGCCCCGAGGAAGGCGCGACCCCGAATCCCTCTCCGCCGCCTGAGGGGACGGCCCGGGATTGGGCTGCGCTGCCTCGCCGCCATTACGACACGGCGGCTTCCCGGGCGCTCCGCCGCCTCGGCCCTTCCCCGTCCCGCCGCCGCCGCCGCCGCAGCACCGCCCTCCTGGCTCCCCGGAGGCGTCCGCGGCTCCCGCTCCGGCTTCCCGGTTCCCGCTTCCTCCGCCCGCCTCCGGCTTCTCAAACCAACCAACCACCCCCCCCCCCCCCCGTCCCTCCCGCCCAACCGGTCCTTCCTCCTGGCTCCCCTTCTTCGCCGCCTCCCGTCCCGGCTGACCGTGTCCGTCCTGCGGGGCGCCCGGTCCGCGCGGACGTCCGTCCGCCCCTGCCGACCGCCTGCTCGCTGTGCGCGTTGCGGAGTGAGAGGCGCTGCGAGCTCAAGAGCGGGACTCGAGCTCCCTCTTGCAAGGCAGGCTGAGCTGCAGCGCCATGCAGCGCGGGCGAGCGCCAGGCGGGGACGCCCGAGCTCGCCCCGCCGCCGGGCTCGCCTGCCTCCCCCCCCCCCCCCGCCGCCTCTCGCCCCGCGACCCCCGAGGGGAGACGGGCAGCGGACGGGACTAGAAGGCTCTCCCTCCTCCCTGACCCAGCCACGCCGATGAACCCCGGATCTTCTCCCTTCCGGGCCCCCCATGGGCAGCTCTGGCTCTCCCCGCCGCCCCCTCCTCGATTCGGATCTGCTGGGTCTGCCTTTCCTCGATTCGGATCTATGGAGTCTGCATTGGCTCAGTGAGGATCCCTCGGATCTGCCTTTCCTTCCCTCGGATCCCTTGGGTCCGCATTTCCCCCATTAGGAACGGTTGGATCTGCCTTTCCCCATTAGGATCCATTGGATCTGCCTTTCCTCGGTTCGGATCCGGTGGGTCTGCATTTCAGGCAGCCGGGAAATGGAGGCCAGGCACAGGCGGCTGCTGCTGCTGCTGCTGGGTTTTTTTCTCTCTCTCTCTGCCCATCTTGGTGCCATATGTTCCCGGGGTTTAATGCTGGCAGCCTTGAAATTTGCGCCCCCCCCCCCCCCCGCCCTCTTTCTGCTTTGATATTAGGGAAGGAATTGATCCCAGTGGGTAGAAATGCACCTATTTTATTTTATTTATTTTACACCCCGTTTTGGGCTGCCTTGCTTTCTGGATTGGAAGGTTTGACAGTTGAGGAGGAAGGAAGCGGATGCCCCACCAGGGAGCAGCTGGTGGTGGTGGAAAGTTGGTAGGCCTGCTGCTGACTCTCTTCCTCAAATTAGGCAAGGGCAAGATCAGAGATAATAGCCCAAGAGCGGTTTGTAATAAATAGGAGAAGCTGGGCAGGATCAGACAGAAGGCCTCTTTTAAGTCTTGTTTTCGCAAAAGCCAACCGGTTGCTTCTGGGAAAAACTCATGAGAAGGATGGAGGGCAAATGCCTCTGATTAAATCTTGGGTTACATCACAGGCTTGCTTTGCTCTGAGACGCAAAGGTGCTCCTCTGTGTTCAAAAGCAGTTATTTCCAGTTTTAACAGGTATCTGATTTAGAATTATAAAAACACTACCTTGAATATTTTTAGGCTGTAAGTTAAATGTAGTGTGAATTTAGTATCTTTCAGTATGACTGCAAATATCTCTTGATTGAGGGAATTTGAGCCCTAGTATATTGGTCTACAAGATAATTTCTAGATTAGATAGTAGAAATCCCGCCCTGCATAAAATTCTGTTAATATATTTAGGGCAAAATTGGGCTTTGATTGCTTTTGTGCATGTTAGTCAACATGTGCCAAAATCGAGTATTACTGTCTTCACCATTAGCACAAAACATTTGCACATAATGAACATGTGACTAAGACTGATGACCTAATCTGTACCTTATGTTGCTAAAACGTATTAGGAGAAAACCTGAATTAAGCCAAGCCATGGTGGGTGGAAGAGATCATTGTGGATGGGTCTGTGTGATAATAACCATGGCACATAGAATACTCTGAATTGAAATGAAAAAAGTAGGTGTGTGAGCTGAATGGCATAAATAGTATTAAAACCAAAGGGAAAATGAAATACGCTGTGGATTGAACATATGATTACATGCAGGGAAGTGAAGGGTTAGGTGTGTTAAATGAATGAAAAGGTTAAAGTAAGTATCAGTATGGACAGAAGTTATTGGACTTGTCCAGGTTACTCATGAAAGTAGGGATCCATAGATTGGTGGTGGATATTCATTAAAGCAGCACCTTCAACAGGTTTTTGACAGTGGGGACAATTGCTATTTTACCCTGAGGGTTACAATTCTACTTACAATTCTTACATATAAAAACCAGTTAAGGGTTTCCAAAATATAATTTTAAATAATTATCTTTAGATAATTTTATGTAAAGTCTTTTCAGTCAGATAGCTTAGTTATTTGTATTAAAAATACAGTTCTCAAATATCCATTTGTTCAGTCTGTTTACTCAGCTATTCTAAAGTGTGATTCGTTGCCAAAGAACTAAATTAATTGTTCTTTTTATTGTTACACTTGGCTTCTTTTTCATTTTAATCCTTCACCATGAAATAGATGAACCTCATATGATTTTTAAATTACCATTCTGCACTCTTCAACCTAATACTGAATTTTACAAAAAAGTATCTTTAAAACTTAAGTCCACAACATATCTTTATTAGAAGTTCAATAATGTATATGATTTATGGGGGAAATCTTTAAATATTAAATATGTGATGTTGAATATTATGTACCAAGTAATATTATATAAATAGAACCTGACTTACATAGACAGAATCTCTGTCTTTGAGGAATCATTATTCTAGTGTGCATGGTGAGGGTGACTAAAAGAACAATATTGAGAAGTGATCGTATTCCAGATATTAAAGATTGGGTTTTGAAAATCTGTAACTTCTCTGTCTTGGGAAAAGCAATATTTTCTACTAATCAGTATAAATCAATAGGTTCTTTGGCATAGATGTTATGATATTTTATAATTTTTGTATACTGTTAATATAGTATTGAATGTATTTGACAATACTATTATATTGTATTTTTGTAAAACAGTGACTAGTTTAATATATACCCTGTTTCTCCAACAATACGGCCTCCCCCAATAGGAAGTCCCAGCATGTTTTATAGGCATGAAATGAAATTAAGGCCCTCCCCCCAAATTAAGGCCTATATTAAAACATGCGAAATGGGGGGAAATGGTGGGTGGGCTTGCTATTAGGAAGTACTTTTGTTGCACACCCGGATATGGTGCTGCCTGCGTTGACCCCGATACAAAGTGCCCCAGCGCCGAGGTCAACATTCAAGCCCTCGCTGCCTGCCCTAAGATGCAAGGGGGGGAATTAAGTCACCCCCGAAAAGACGGCCTAGCCGTCTTTTCGGGGCTCAAAAAAAAAAAAAGACCCGGCCTTATTATATGAGAAACACGGTAGAATGTAGATATGTTTGCTTTCTTTTCCTTGTCTTTTTATCATTTTTATCTAGTGTTTGCTTTACTTTTGTTATGGTTATGTATCTTGGTAGTTTGCTTATATTCTGTATCCTATCCTTTCAATAAAGAATTTTTAAAAACACACAAGAACAAAAGGTTAGGGCTTGGTTAAAGTTTGGAAGCGATTGAATCAGCATAGCAAGTATTACATGACTTCTATATTACTACAACAAATAAGAGTTTTGACCTGCATTGCAGTTTCATTGATTTAGAGGGGGCTAATTCCTTACTACATTTTGCTGAATGGTTTACAATATTGGAGATACTTTCTTCCTGTGACCTGATATTAGCAGCATACTGTGAAATATGATTCAGAATTACCAACTGTTATGTTCTGCCTCGCTTTGGAAATAATCTCCTGGGTTTTGTGTAGGCCTTTAAAATCCCTGAGCTCTCCTGTCAATTGGCTAACTTAACTGCATTCACCCTGCCATGGAATCAGATCCTTATCTAGTCTTACATTCAGTGTCTGGATTTATCTAGTATCCATCTGTACTTCTAACACAATTGTGTTGGCTTTTCATTTAGCAGCTCTGCAAAAGACTGAATGTACCTTTGAGTGTTTCTGACAGGACTTGATGTATTAATTGAAATATTCTGAATTCTTTTGAGCCATAAATAATATTTTAGGAATTTACTGTACAAATATTTGGACTGGAAATGAGATCAATAGTTTAAAATCACATTTAATATTTTATTTTAAGGTTTTTTAATATATTATTTTACATTGTTATATTAAATGATCCTTTTAAACACATATAAATAACTGCATCGAATTACTGCATGTAAGTCACAGGCAACTTGTACTATTTGGATGGTACAATCAGAACAGATTGATAAATAAATTCTTAGAGTAGAAAACCAATTCAGGCTGTGTCAAGCCCAAAGACACACACACTAAATTACAGGTAGTCCTCGACTTACAACCACAATTGAGCCCAAAATTTCTGTTAAGTTAGATATTTGTTAAGTGAGTTTTGTGCTATTTTACAACTTTTCTTGCCACAGTTGTTAAGTGAATCCCCGCGGTTGTTAAGTTAGTAACATAGTTGTTAAGTGAATCCGAATTTCCCATTGACTTTGTTTGTCAGAAGTTCACAAAAGATGGCTCGTATGACTCCGGGGACATTGCAACTGTCATAAGTGTGAGTCAGTTGCCAAATGTCTGATCACATGATCACAGGGATGCTGCAATGGCCATAAAAGTATGAGAAACGGCCATGTCACTTTTTTTCAGTGCTGTTGTAACTTCGGATGGTCACTATGAACTGTTGTAAGTCGAGGACTACCTGCACCATTGGATCCAGTTCTTTTATTTGTTTACAGTAATGGACAAAATCTTGAAGTTGGCAGCCACTTGACGCACTTTGGTAGGGGCGCTGTGGCCTCTTCAGTCGCACTTGACCGCTAGGTTCCCTTCAGTAGGTCCCCCATACCAACCATTAGTCTGCCATTGTCCTCTTTAAGGCCCTTAGCCATTGAACCCCTTAATATCGTGGTACTTCTTCAGTGGCCTCCTCTGCTTAGCCTCTTGCCTTCCCTACCAATTCTAGACAGGGAGCCTTGAGGGTACCATAGTTTAAAATGGTGCACCTTCAGGCAAATTCTCCCTCTGGAAATTCTGGTTTCATCTCCAGCTTAAAGGAACACTGTCAATTTTGTCTTTCGGCTCTAACAACATATCACTTAATTCCGCTTATTCTTCTTATAAAAACGTATGTTGGCTGCTGAAAAAAAATAGGGAAATGAGTGGCTGGGTGATATTCCTGTCTTTACACCATGCACATTTGTCCTACAAAGTGCTAGAAGTACGATGTTTTTTATTGACATTTGGATTAAGAAAAAAATGAGAATGAAAATACACACCAAATGGAACGTGTGTTTCATTTGGAATATGCATTTTGTTTTGGATGGAATAAACAATGTATCCTTCTTTGGATTGGTTTGGCAGAAATAAGTCATGAAATCTTTTTGTTGTTCCAGGTTTCAGCTGAAAACAAAACCTGCAGGAATTGTAGGTGGAGTAGAGAAAAGATTCAGTGGACAAACACCTGGGGTTTCTGGACACAATTATCTCCCGCTGCTTAGTGACATTTAGAATTATGTTTATTTGAAATAAAGAGTTTTCTATGTATTACGTGGCAGATACTTAATTATAGTTTACATTGATGATCTTGTCCTCTTTTCAAAGCTATCTAAATAGTTATTGCTACTTTTATGTCAATTATTCTTGACCAAAAGTGTATTGTTATTCAGTCTTTTTAAGCCTTTCTTCATCTTTGCAGATAACCAGACCAGGGTACAATGCCTGTGGAGGAACAAGTCATACCAGAATAAGAAAAGAAATTATCTTGGGAGAAAAAGAAAACAAAGAAGATAGTTTATGTGACTGATGTGCCACAATGGTGAGCAGCTGTTATATGGCAAAAGGGATTTACTAAAACAAAAAAAAAAGCTATCTTCAGAGAGGCTTCTTCACAGATCTGAATACTTCTATTTCCATACATTTTTAAAAGACATATCTAGGAATTTAGTTAATACCATAGGAACATTCTATGTTACAATACCAATTTTATGCCTCCCTAGTTCCCTTTGGCGGGAGCTTAGTCATCACCAAAGCAATTCCAAGATCAGAACATTAAAATAAAATGGCATCATCACCCTCTCCTATGCTTAATTCACTCCTTTTCTTAAAAAAAAAAAGAAGCAATTCCCAAAACAAGTCCCCCTTCCAGATGTCTAAGGAATTGGAGGGGTGGGTTGTTTGTTTGTGTGGTTTTTCTTTTTTTTAATTGTGGGTTGCAAAGAAAATAGTCAATTGTGCTTGGTGCAAAAGTTGAATATTAACATTTCTGATTTCTGGGGCTCTTGTCAAGCACGAAGAATCAGGACCACAAGTTAAATTCCAATTAAACTGATTTATTGCCCCTGCCTATACCCAAGAATCTAGTCAACTAATGGTCAGTTCTAAATTGATACTAGATAATAATTAATGTTATTCAAGGGGGTTGTATTTAGATTGCTTGTGGGAACATAACGACTACAGGCTGATTCCTCTCTTGACTCCATCCCCAGTTGTCCTTCTGCAGCTCAACACATTTCAGCGATCTCCATTCTTGTTCCCTGTACCCAAGAATAGCTTGGGTACAGAGCTATTGTGAGCATGGATATGGGAAGCGTGTGTTGCTTCTTCCCTCTGTCATTTATCACTTCCCTGTTCCTGTCTACAAACTTGTCTAGTATCTTTTCTAGTTCTCATTGGAGTAAGAGCTGGGATCCTGTAGGGAGGCGCTGCTATGAAACAGATACTGTCGCGTTACTGATCTCTAGTGGTTGGATCCTCTTACTGCAACAGGCACAGGACACTTGAGAAACGTCATTTTTGGAGTGATTATAGCAGTGGTTAACAATACTAGAAGTCTGATCGCTTTTTCCAGCAGCTGCAGTCTCACATTTATCTGGCCCCAATGCTTTAAGGCAGGGGTGTCCAACCTTGGCAACTTTAAGCCTGGAGGACTTCAACTCCCAGAATTCCCCAGCCAGCTTAAAGTTGCCAAGGTTGGACACCCCTGCTTTAAGGGTTCTGAGAATCTGCTGCATTGGTTCATGCCAGGTGCCAAAGCGCATGCTTAAGTGGATTGTTTCCTTTTGTTTTCCCTACCAGGAAGGTGACATGGAAGCAGAAGCAGTTGAAACCATTGGGGAAGAATCCGAAACTTTCATTAAAGGCAAAGAACGGAAGACCTACCAGAGACGCCGGGACGGCGGGCAGGAAGAGGACGTCTGCCCGCTGCCGCCCAGCCAAGCAGATGGGACTGAGGTAGTACAGGAGGTTAACGCCGGGGTTCAGATGGTCATGATGGAACAGCTTGATCCAACGCTGCTTCACATGAAGACGGAAGTCATGGAAGGTACCGTGTCACAAGAAGCCGAAGCCACTGTGGATGACACCCAAATAATCACCCTCCAGGTCGTGAACATGGAAGAACAGCCCATCAACCTGGGCGAGCTCCAGCTCGTCCAAGTGCCCGTCCCAGTGTCCGTCCCTGTCGCTACCACGTCCGTAGAAGAACTTCAGGGGGCCTATGAAAACGAGGTCTCCAAGGGTGGCCTCCAGGAGGGGGAGCCCATGATCTGCCACACGCTCCCTTTGCCCGAAGGCTTCCAGGTAGTCAAGGTTGGGGCCAATGGCGAGGTGGAGACCCTGGAGCAGGAGGAACTTCAGCCTCAGGAGGATCCTAACTGGCAGAAAGACCCAGACTATCAGCCCCCCACCAAAAAGACAAAGAAAACCAAAAAGAGCAAACTCCGTTACACCGAGGAGGGGAAAGACGTGGACGTGTCCGTGTATGATTTTGAAGAGGAGCAGCAGGAGGGCTTGCTTTCGGACGTCAACGCCGAGAAAGTGGTGGGCAACATGAAGCCCCCCAAACCGACAAAAATTAAAAAGAAAGGTACGTTAGGCAGTTGAGCGTGGAGGCTGGGTGGACAGACCTTCGCGGTTTGTGCCGCATATTAATTATCCCACGGCTCTTGAACTATATCCGGGCCAGAGGTTTAATTGATTTAAAAACCCAGCCAGGTTCAGAAAGACTAGCCTTGATGATGGCTTAATTGTGACCTAGGTCTTCCTTGAAAGGTATAATTCTAGGCACAGAGATTCACAGAAGTTGAGTTTCACATTCACATGGATAGATTTCAGGGTAACCAACGCGCCAGATGTGGAAGCCGTAAGCCGTTTCCCCTCAGCAAAGACAAGATTGCTCCCCCAAGTGATTTCTGTTGTGTTTTATGGCCTAGTTAATCAGACATGATATTCTTCCGATTAAAATTGGAATTCCGATTTTTTGGGGAATCGCCCCCCCCTTTCCCCCCCTTCTTTTCCTCCTTCCCCTCCCCTCGGAGGCCCCGAGTCAGGAGTTGCTACCG